AATAATAACCGTAATCTTTTCTTATTCTTAGTTGGGCACGGCCAAAACACAAAAACCTCTTTTGATTGGGGTTTTTGTCTTATTGTACGTATGTGCTATTGGAACGTTTGTGATGATAGTGGATACGGAGTGCCAGTACTTCACAAATAAGCATTTAATAAAAACATTCATGAAAATCCAAGAGTTGCAGTTGAGAAACCAGCTAAAGATGGAGAGGTAAGTCTAGAGGAATATAATGCAACGAAAAGTACAGTACAGACCGACGGTACTGCAAATGGGTAATCCAGCGGTCGCGGGAGTCTCGGAAATCGAGAGGGCTCCCCGCACTCCCACAAGTTAGCAAGCACGAATACCCTCTCTCGATTGATAATACAGTTTTCACTACTGTATTATCATTTGCCCCCCACCCCCGGCAGTATGGGTATCAATCTCCATACACAGCAAAATAATTGAAAATGTTAAGTAGGACACCTGAATAACATAACTTGAATAATAATCAGTGGCGTTATCTAGAAGTCTTGAAATGGGGGTGCTGATGGGGGGGGGGGCGCCAAGTTGAAGTGGAAGGGCTCGATGGTCAGTTGAGGGGCGTTAATTTTAGATGATTTTTAACAACTTGACCATGATTTGGGGAGGGGCGTGCGCCCCCCTCCCTAGATACATAGGCCTAATAATTGTGATGATATTTAAAAAGCTGGTGCTCGTGTGATTGAGTTTTTTCCTATCAGAGCCATGGTGCTGGGTGTGGAACGGCAAGCCTCCTCAAGACTGACGCTGCGCTTTTTAAACGGCGGTGGTGGACGCTTCCTATCATATTTTGACCCAGGTCTACCCCTCCTGTTACTCCAAAAGGTCTGTTTTACCCACTCAGAACCAGACTATCCCTAATACCAATAGTACCCAGTGGCTCTTACGCTCAGCACTTCCTGCGAGCGTCGCACGACGGCCGTAGGCCTCCGACTGTAGGCCGCCGACGAATCCAAACTCTCTCTTTGAGCGCATGACGACGCGACACCGTCTGCTGACTGTCGGTGGCGTTGCGCTGTCCATAGAATCGAGTCGGCAACACAACGATGTCATTAGAAATAAAAAGGAACCATGCACCACCACATAATAATAGACGAATGTTTTTTAATCATTTTTCGAATATAAGTGCATTTTAATGCACTTATTTTTAAAGTTCTTAAAAACGTTTTCACGATTATATCTTTCATTTCCAAAATAATAGTCTGGATGCAGCACCCACTCCTTACAACATCAAAACACCACAGAAGAATGATGTGTTGAACTTTGCTCTTCATTTAAAAGAAAGGTTAGATTATTACAGACTAAATTTCAAACCTTTTATGGCAAATTGATTGGTTGTTTGATAAATTATTGATTGATTGATCCACAGATTAATTGACTAAGTACTCATATAATTAATATAGACTGTTGTCTTATGTATAACAATAATCAAAATTTGTGTTTACATAATATCAAAACGTAGATCTCTAAAACTGAATGACGACAAAGTGGAATCACCCAAAAAAAAAAAAAAACAAGAAAAGAAACTGAAAAAAAATAATGTTATTTTTGCCTAATTAAGGAAATATTATTTTAGCGAAATTAATTGCATGTATATAATATCGAAAGTTAGATTGAAGAATAAAATGTCTCTAATGTTTCTAAAACTGATTTTTGCAGTTCTAAGAAGATTGAAGGAAAGAAACGATTAAAATTAGACTTCAAAAAATCGAAGCGAAAGATAATCGGAAATACCTTATCAAAACATATTGACAACCTCCAGGTGAACTTACTCAGAGATCGCTTACGAGTGAGTGGTCTGTCTCTTAACGAAATGCTATACCTCCATGGTTCGAACAACATAAATCGACCACCCGAACATAAAGCTTTGAAAGCGAAGACACATGTTTCTGCGAAGAAGCTGTTTGACACCTGTGCAGTGGTTTCAAACAGAGACGATCTACGGCAAAGTAAATGTGGCGCGGAGATTGACGCCCACGATTATGTTATGCGTTCGAACATGGCGCCAACGCAAGGTTTCACAGACGACGTGGGAAATCGGACCGATTTTATGGCAGTTCATCAAACGCGATTTTTAGACATTGCAAGATGCATTCAAAATAAATACAGTTCCTGTCATGAGAGTGCCAAACGAGAATTATCAGATCTCGGTGATGCGAACATGTGGATTGTTAAACATGGCGGCATTAATCCTAAATCTTTTGATCAGATTGCAAAGTTTGCCAGATACAACGCCATAGACCTGGTTCTATCTTATCCAAACATGAAGTATCTTAGAACAACTATTTCAAGGTAAAAAGTATTCTTCTGTCTTTACACCAACTGGGCCACTGGGCTTCGTTGGGAGTTCAAATTCCAATAATGCAACTTGATCTACCACACTCCTTTGCGCAAGTGTATTTGAACAACACTAGTTCTCGAATATTACAAATAACAGAGAACAATATGACACGCCCTCATCTTAAGCAAGACGGGATCTACAAAAGATTCTTATACTGTATATAGAAAAAATATTACCACCTTCTTGAATAATTTAGTTAAGAATTATGTAAGCTCCGTCTTCTTGAATAATTTAGTTACAAATGTTAAATAAAAGCTCAAACTTTTTTTTTTTTATTCATTCAGCTTCTGGGGTTTCAACATCGATGTCTCTTCAAATGGAATATTCCTGTTTACTGTCGCGGTGCCATTATGCAAGAAAATATCGCTGTATGGATTCCAGACTTCGTCTATGAAAAATAGCTCTAAAGGCAACCCATACTTCATGGACAGTCCTCTGCAAGAGTTTAATCAGAAAAACGTACTGAAACGAGAACTGAAACAATTACAAAGTTTGAATGCAACACGTACTCTAAGACTCGTATCCCTGCCATGCTCTTTATAAATGTGAATTTTCTTTTCTTTTGCTACACAGAGCGCTTGATTTCGAGATAGGCTCTAGCCCACCACCTGGAGTGGCTCTTGTCTTTATTTTGGGCAATTTCCCGCAAGTGGGATCTCTCATTGTTGGTTGATAGAGGACAAACGAAAATTAGGCTTATTAGAAAAAGTAATACATGAGATGGACGAATCCTTTTTCTCCAAACAGTTTAATTTTTTCCAAAAATAACGAACAAGTTTATCAATACATGAATGATCAACAAATAATAGATAAATTTTGAATAAAGTGGATTTAATATCAATAAATTCAATTTCATTAACAAATACAATTTCTGGTCTGGGAGACATCTCACCTTAAAACAAAAATAAAATCGTTTTTCTAATCACATCAAAATCTTTCTCATCTTTGGTATTTTGTATTCAATTTTCACAATCTTTCTTCAGTTATATATAAGCCATATAATAATTATTACCACGCTTTTATTTTTTTATTTTATTAGGCTAGTTGCAAGTCATGCAATTTTAAAATGAAACAAAAACAAAATAAGAGGAATATAGTAACCGTCATTATGACTGACACGGATTGCAAACATGACAAGAAAGCGAACATTGGGAAAGTGGGAGGAAGAAAGGAGGCAGGTATGGTGTACATGTATATATATATATATATATATATATATATATATATCATAAATACATAAACACACATATAGAGTATATAGCAAATATACAAAAAAACAGACATGAAACTAAATGCCATTATTAAATCAATGCTAATTTTCAAAGATGTTATTTTTCTGTACAGTTCGACTATAGTACAGAACAGTACTATAATTATTTTTTGTATATTAATACACAATTTAGTCCATGGATATGAAGTATTGTGTTCATTTTACAGTATTTTGTTTTCAGCGAAAATGCAAATTACATTGCGAGCAGCCACTCTGATCATCAGAGTCATAATAGATATGGAGATACACTGAGTTTGCATTATGCTATTATATTCTACACAGAAAGACTATGGTCTACTAAGGGTGATGTAATTATAGTGATATGGGTAATACACATTATGATATACAGTATATTACATACTAAAATATGCAGTATATTACATTTGTCAAAACTACTCATTACAGAAAATTAATAAATATTATTGTTATTATCCCTATAACAGATTTGTTCCAAAGAAAAAGAATTTAAATTATTATTAAGAATTATCAGTATTACATATATAAGGTACTTCAAGTTAGTGAAGGATTCTAAAAAAATCAGTGATTACTAAAAAAATTATATTACTACACAGTGATTTTAATATGGATGTTTATTTGTTGTATTAGTATATGAAAAAATGTTCTTTTGTTTTGTAGGCTTCCTTTCATGAAATTTGGTGGTACCTTTTATGAAATGTCAGCTTTTTAAAATTTGTGAAAAAACAGTGGGGACAGATATTCAAAAAAGAAAGCTGGTGCTGCAACACAAAACATTCCACTGTAAAGCTCCGTCTGCATCATCAAATTGTATGCCCATATCTAGTCATGATATGCCTATATATGGTCATCATGTGCCAATATATGGTCACGATGTGATGTCATCATGACCATATTTAGACATATCACATGTTTTTGTCAAATAGAATTTGATAGTGTGAACAGGACTTTATGGCTGAAGATTCAAATGCGAAGTGCCAGTAGGTGAGAACTAAAGTATCATTCAAGAAGCATTGCACAGAGAGCGTTCATATCATCCACATCCGGATGCTTTGTAAGAAGCTTAACAATCTCACTGTCCGAGTCGGGAAAGACATTTTTCAATTTAGCATACATCGGCAACGTCCGTACATTTTGTGGCACTTTTGCCGGCATTTCAAGTATCCCTGGATCCTTAATCATATTCGCATATCTTTTCACATCTTTTACATCCGGATAACGATGGAGGACAGTCATAATTTTTTCCTCTTTATTTGGAAAGATTGTCGCTAACTTTTCAAAAACGCGAGTTAATTCTTCCATATCTGTATTCCCTTCAAATCTCTCATCTTGTTGACGTGGTATTTGATCTTGTTTTCTATGATCAATTTCTTGTTTCCTACGATCAATGTCTTGTTTAAGATTCCTATGTTGAGGTTCATGTCTTCGAGTGTCTGGCGGTCTTGAATGTCTTATAATTGGTTCTGTACGTGCATGCACTGTATGTCTGCGTATAGGATAACCTGTATTTAGCCTTCTACTTGGGTCCATAAAATCCCACCGTTCATCCTCAATAACTGAACGTCTTGGATTTCCAATTTGAGGAGCAACAGGAGCCCTTAACATAGGAAAGTGGTCGGGGAGGTTCTCCTGGTTCCAGTCGACAGTACGGTTCGGTAGTTCTATTTGTGGCGGTACTGCCAATGATTGTATGAGAGGCGATAACTGTTCATCATGCGGTAATAATTGGCCTGGTTGCCTGGAAAGTTGAATCTGCTTGGGAAACGCTGATAGTGCTGGTAGTGCTGATACTGTGCATTCTGGTTGTTCATGTACACTGCAGAAAAAACATGTAAAATCCAATCATCAACAAAAAATACACAAAAAAAAAAATTAATGTCAATATATTGTCCTTGTTAAAAATATATTTATATTTACATTAACTGTGAATGTATTGTCCTAAAAAAAACAAAAAAAAACAAGAATTTGGGTCCTCAAAGTTCTTCAGCAGCTTCACTGCTGCATCTATCACCCTTTCCAAGTGTTCTTTTCCGGCACACGTGTTATTATGTTCATTAGACCCAATGGGTTAACATATCATCTGAAGAAGATATTTAGAGCAAAGTGTCTAAGAATATAAGCAAGAATGATTTTGACAGCTTTCAAACTTGTTTTCTCTTGCACCGAAGCCAATTCCTTTATTCTAACTCGCATTCAAAATCTTAATCATCAGATCATCAACAGCATAGTAAATGAAATACAGTATTAACAGTTTACTTATTTTTAAATGAACTTGAAAACTGAATAAAAAACACATTATATTTTAACATAACACAGGAAATAAAATTCAGTACGGTGCAAGATTGATAACATCTGTAACATGAAAGACAAATTGCAAAAAACAACACAAATCTCTCTTCTTTATAATATTGTGTAATTAGTCTTTTTTTTAAAAAGTTATTCCAATATCAATATTAATATGCAAATGAGATTATTGAAGCAAAAAATCTGTGATGATCGGCATAAAAACAAATACACTATATAAATTAATTAATAACTTATAAATAAATAATTGGTGCTCTGTAATTTTACTTTTACATATAATATTTCATTATTCGAAAACTGTTTCATAGCAATATGACCAACTATTGGAACAACATTAACAAATGAAAATGAAAGGCAATGTTATTGACAGAAATGGCAATATCAATGATAATGAAAGTCATAAAAACAATTATTATAACAAACTTATAATTTAATGCTTTTACAAATTTGGTACTGAATATGAAAAAATGAATTGAACAAAATTAATGCTGCCCTCTATAGTTTATGAAAACTATTATGATTGACTTGTTATTTATGTCTTGAAATACATAGGCAGAGGTACTACATACACAACATGGTTAGATTTCTGAAAATGTTCAATCATAACACATAACATTGTTGTTTAGTTAGTGCTAACAAATCTGATTTTTTTTCTTTGGTGTAAAGATTATAAATATATTAACAACATGCTGGTATAACAAAGTGATGAACTGTAACCGAACCATAAACGAAGTATCTCTACCCGAAAATCTGTGACGGGATCTGATGAAATACGCCAAATTTTGAGAGATGCAATAAAAGAGAACAATCAGAGATCTAACCAACATAGAGGGAAAGTGGCAATACCCTGTGAATACTGTTAAGGCATTTAATGATGAGAAAATTGGCAAAGGGCAGCACACTGTGTTTGTGAAAACATTCTGCAGTATATTGTAGAATATGTTCGAACAACCTCTATAATACTTTCCTAAAAAGGGGTTAATTCTATTTCACAATTAATATAAAGCAAATTTTTGCAAGCTAAAAAGGTAAAGTTGAACTTATAAGGAAAATACTGTACAGTATTTTGAAATATTTGGGTGTGTATCATCAATCAAATTTTTAAAAAGTCCCACTCAAAAAGAAATAAGTAGACAGGCGGTGTCACTATTGGACGAGGGAGGGCAGATTGCGATCCTGTTGGCTAGATCATCATCTAATTGTACTTTCCACAGGCATCTTTGTTTAAACATTGTTAGTTACAATACCTGGAGGTCTTTGAAAAGCTGAGGGTCCTTTAAACGGTTTTGTGACACCATAATGCGAATTTGCTCTGCATAAGAATTTTTTTTAAATTTTTAATTGTGGTCTTTTATCCTACCAAACATAATATCAATTCCTTAAAGTAAAGTTCAACAGAAATGAATACATATGCAAAAGTGAAAATGCATGCTATGAGTTATAGTCAAGATCCACTCAACGTAAAAAGACAGATAGCTCAAAATAGATGTAAATATAGTTAATGCATTATGAAATGTATATACTAATCTTTCTTTTGAAATACTCGCAAATTTTTCTCAGGTTAAATTACAAAGAAAATGCAGAAAATATTAAGGCCATAAAAAAAGATAAAATCAAGACAACGATGCAATTTAATGATTTTATTATATTGTACTGTATTAAGAATTGTCTAGCATTTCATACTTCTAAGTAAAGATTATCAAATTTTCTTTAACAAAAAACTTTTGTATGCCCATATATAGTCATGATGTGCCTATATATGGTCACATGTTTTTGTCAAATAAAGTTTGAAAGTCTTGGCAGAGCTTTATAGGCTATTTTATGTTTGATAAACAATGTGTCAGTTTTAATGTTGTTTCTGTTTTGATGCCTGTTTCATAGCTTTTGTTGCTTTGTCTGTTGTATGGTAATTTTTGATCGATTGTAAATTCAGTTGTTATGAGCTAATGACAAGCCAGACACACACTATGTCATGCAACCTTTGGTTGATGAACCCATCTTTGCAAGTGAGCCCACAATGACGCTGCCTGCCAAATTGGTTAAAGTCTGAGCTGTCACTAAAAATGATCTGCTGGACGCGCCTTGTCGATTTGCATTGCGTCTTTCCTGGAATGGCATCAGTTGCTGACCAACGCAGTGTGTGACCAACTTAATTTTATGTATTGATATACAGTAGATATATTTTTTTGATATTCTTTTGTTTAACCAGTAGAAACCAGTGACTTTTGAAACCAGATGAATTTATTCAAAGATATGGATATATATGGCAACAAATTTTCACACTGAAATGCAACACTTACTTTAGAGGTTGTTTCTGTAAAAACTGATCAAGCGTTGGACCATTTCTTCCGAGCGGGTCATCGGGGAACAAGAAAATATCACCGACAATGTTGTACATTAACAACCTGAATAGTATAAAGAATAAATATGATTCATCTGCTAAAATTTAACTACACTTGCTTTGGATTTAAGCATCAAAAACTGACACAAAGTTGAAGAGGAGAAATAACATAAAAGAACATGTCGAAAAAGTGCTTTTTATATTAATTATTAATTTTTCGTAATAAAATTTAGTTTACAGCGTTCAATTTACCCAGTATTGAATGCAAAGGACTTCCACAAATGCATCACAATAAAATGTAAAACAGTCAAAGTCAAGTTGTTACAAAATGTTTTGGGCCAAAAATAGCACAATATACTTGTGTTTACATCGAGTGCACACACACAATGGTACATGTACATCATTGTTCATGCAGCTGGTTTGAGTACGAGTCGGGCTTCTTTCCTGTGTTTTACAATATTATCTCATATTTTGCCACTCCACTCTGTTCTGCTTCTCCTGTAGATCGCTTTTGCTTTCACACGTTTGTACAATGAGGTGTTGCTTAATGTCATATGTACCGTACTAGCACGGCACTGCATGCATGTGTAGCATGCAAATTATCTTACTTTTTATCTTGGCACTGTTATTCCCGCTGTTTACATCCAGTCACTGTCAGATTAGACAGTGAGGATGAGCCAGTGTTTTACTCAAATAACTTGAAAAATTGTTAAAAAATAAAGATGCACCACATGATTTTCTTTAATAATCATTCTTTATCACCGCATAAAAAAAAGCTATGCACAATTTTGGAATTGTTACACAAAAGCACATAGCACTTTTTGCTACACTCCAAAAATGCTGGAAATCGAACTCTGTTAGTTTACATTCCTAACAAATATAAATCAGGTCAAACAAATCAATATATTGTACTGTATTTGATTACAGTATAAAAGTTGTGATTAATTCCTATATAATGAACACGAATATAGAAAAATGTCACGGTGCATCAGAGGCATACTCTAAATACCTTCTTTACCAAGATATTCAACATTCAGTATCTCTTACCGTTCTTCAATAACCCTCTTCCATTTTTCTGACTCACTCATCAAATCCCGGTAGTTGTCATTGGATACAATCACTCCATCATTCATTGATGCCAAGCGGACAATGAACCTGGTTTCAAAAAGATGTACATCAGTAATCACATCAAATAGTATAACATGTTAAGCAATGATCTCAATGATCAGGTATGAAATATTACAAGTGCAGGACTTACAAAGTATAAATTAGTATATCAAAGTATTATAAAAACCAAACCATCCTCCTTGCAGCTTAACAGCCTAAAACACCTAAATCAACACTAATCAATTGAAGCATTAACTTCAGTCACTATAAAACAAAATATGAAGACTTTCACATCCATAGACCTTATCTCATTTGCACTATATCTTAAAGTATGAAGTACTCTACATTGGTAGTTAATTGCCTTCATATTGAATGAAAAAATGAATTTGTAAATCCTGACAAAACAAAAGAAATTTTATAATGAACAAAACACTCCGCTTCCAAAGCATCACAAATAGTACATTTCTCGTGTGAATGTTGGCGTACTTGCAAAACACTTTAAACCCTGTTGGGGTATGGGATGTCCGAGGGTTTTCATTTCAAAGTTGAAGTAGTTGCAAAACATAAACCAAAAAAAGAATATCTTGGCATATACTTCTTAAGATGCTGAAACCAACTGGACAAACAGGCAAAAAACTCCATCCACCGCTTGTGTTCTACAAGAAAATTCTACAAGCAAAAATCAATCATTACCCTATAAGTCCCTGTTGTCTGATGAAATTGAAATAAACCATAACAGCAACATACCTGTCATCATACGATACGATGAAGCGCCCTCTCACTTTCCTAGACGGAGTGAAATGCAAAAATTCCTTCCTTTCTAAGTCATCTAGAATTTTCCGGTCTGTAATTGGCTTGTCACGAGATGCCTCTTGTGTCTTGCGCCAATGAGGCAAGAACACTGTTATTTCCTTATGGCCACGGTCTTGGAAATACTTGACACAAAGTGCGATTCCACGACATGAAAACACCTTACCTTTGCCATGCCTGTCATCAAAAGGAAATAATTATTTATAGGTCTCCCAAATCACCAGGGATTGCCCTGGAGTCTCCAGGAATTTTGGATAATCTCCCAGTCCTTAGGAATTCTTCCTGGATTTCTCTAGGATTTTACAAATGTTCACAACTAGGACTTAGGCTTACTTAGGCAGACATAAGATTTATCAAATATTCTGGGTGGCAATATTGACCCAAACCTCTTTGTTTTTATGATAAACTTGGCAATCAGCTAGCATACGTATCGCAAACATCTGTCAGACCTGCATGACACATTCGCTTAGCAAAAAAAAAGTCATGTTTTGTGTGGTGCTTATTCAAGAGCTTATTTAAGAGCAGTGCTTATTCAAAGACTAAAATTAGAAATGATTTGGATCAACGAAATAAAATTCGTAAAAAATAAACATTCGTTCTAATAAGGGAATAAAATGAAATATATAAAACATAAGATTGTGCTGAAAATATAGTATGTATCTACTTACGTCATCGCAACATTGCTTCCGTCTATTACAATTGGCCTAAGACCACTGGCTACTTTGGCAACCTTTGGCTCGATTCTAATTGGTGATTCCATTGGGAGACTGGGTGCCTTCATACTTGCAAGGTTCTGTTGCTGCAGCTTCTTCATTAGCTCCTCTTGCTTACGTAAAGCTTCCTGCATCTTTTTTGTTTGTATCTCTAGATCCTTTATTTCCTTGTCCTTTCTCACCTTCTCAGTCAGTTCTTTCTTGAGTTTTTCCTCCTTCTGTAACTGTTCTTTCTTTTGATTTTCCATCATCTGCATTAATTCTTTGATTGATTCTTCCTGTTTCTTCTGTAACTTTTCATTATCCAGACGGAGCTGTTTGTGTTGTTCTGCATAGCGTTTTTCCAGTTCTTCCTTAATTTCCTCTTGCTGTTTTCTCAAATCTTCTTCTAACTTTGCTTGTTGTGTTAAAAGGTTTGTTTCTTGACGTGCTACCAGTTCATTCTCAATTGCCGATACTAGCGACTTCTCTGATGTTATTTTTACCTTACGGACAGCTTCAGTAGATGAATCAGAGTTACTAGAGGATGATGATACATAGATCCAGTCTTCAGCTGGTGGTTTAACTGGTACTCTAGTTGCTGTCGTTCTGACTTTGAGTTCTCCAATGCAGTCTACATCAACAGAATCAGAATTTTGGTTATTTCCTTTCGTTTCAGATATTTTAATCTTTCCTGAATCGACAACGGTTATATCTAGATCAGGAAGATTACTTGTACTGGAGACTTGGTTAGAGTTCAACTTCACCATTGGAGTACTTTGAGGAAGTGAGCCACAGTATTTTGGCTTCATTTTCATTGGTGTAAGCATTGCTGGCATGCTTTTCGGCTGTCTGACACTAACAGCATTTACAAGTTGTTGATGCCTCTTCTCCAGCTCTTCAACACTCAAAACTGTTAAGTCCTGCTGATCTGGCACAGGATCTGGCAAAAGATCTATCACACTAACATCTTCCTTCTTGATCTTGTACATGTTATCTTGTATACGTCGTGGTAATGTTAAAGACTTCAGTTTATTCTCATTCTTCTGACTTTGAAGTATATTCAGTACTTTCTTGTGATCTCTTCTCTCTTCTATACTTAGGGTGGCTTGGGCAGCCTCAATGGCCCATTTCTCATATCCAACATCCACAAGCACCTGGACAAGGCTCTGGTGGCTATCTGGTAATTCAGAATCTGATTGTGATGAGTCAAGGTAGATGGTATCTATAGTATCAAGGCGGAGCTTTTTTGGGTCAGGAGTACAAATGACATTACCGCTAATGATACTTTCATCAAATTGAGCTTTTGTCGACCTTTTTGTCCCCAGAAATATCACAGATTCATCTTCGTCAATATAGCTGCCATCTAAGGACACATTTTTCTCTGGGAATCTTTCGGTCATGCTGTTTGAAGACATATTGGTCTTTGGTTTTTTCTTAACTGTGCTACAAAGACCAGATGCATCAAAAACAATTTCATCATCATCAGTAACGTCAATAGAATGGTGAACTTCTCCTAACGCTGCATTTCTTCCATCTATTAACTTATCTCCTTTATCAACTGGTTCCTCCGACAAAACAGACAGAAGAGCCCGTTTGACATTCGGTGGTAGACTAATAGATGTTTCTGCATCTAATCCCTGCCATTCTTCATTTAGAGCAAAACTACACAAATGGCTGTCAATGATATCTTCATGGTTTTTGTTAGTAGCCTTTGCGACATTGTCATCAAACTGAACAATGATTTCCTCAAACGCTGATGAAGCTAATGTTACATTCAACACGCTACCACAGACCTCTATGCTTAAATCATCAATAATTCTGCATACCACTTCATAATTTACTTCCAATTTCCTTCTGGTATCTAGAAAAGAAATATAAAACAAGTACAGACTTGGATGTTTCTTCTAATATAATTATTCACGGTATAACAGGTAACAGGTAATACATAATAATGATATAACATAACAATAATCCCCCTAACCCCAGTCTATAAGTCTAATTTGAATGTAGACTGCTTGTTAATCCTTGCTGACTGCTACTAAAATACACTATCAAAATGCACTAAATAGACCCAGGGCTGGAAAAAGTGCATGACTGTGCGACGGTCGGAGGTATCATGAATGACCCGGAGGCAATTTTGGAGAAAAAAATTTAGCACAACATTCTGTTGGGCTATGTAGTGATAACACTTAGTGCTGGAAGCATTTTATTGATACAATTTTCATGGTTAGAGGCACAAACACTTTTTTTCCAGGCCTGAATAGACCTCTTAACTACTATTTAAACATGTACTGCATGTCATTGTTCGCATATAATATAACCCAAATTTAAGACAGGCTCCGGAGGGAAAAAGTTTTGATATGTTTTTTCAAGACACAAAAAGAATATTTGACAAAAAACTTGGGAATGGTTAATGAGATAAATAGATTTTATGAATATTTAAAAAATGTGGGGGGGGGGGAAGAGTGGATAAAAGAATGGTTTGAATGATGAAATATGCCGCTAAGTTACTCAGTGTGTTTTATCCAACTGTCACCGGCATGGCACTCGGAATGTTCATGCCTTCAGCTTAAGAATATTAATTTGTCTCAAGACTGTACTCCCTTATATCTCCAAAGTAGTATACTTTAGTGATGGGGCAGCTTCCCAATACAAGAACTGTAAACATTTTAACCTATGTCACCACAAAGATGACTTTGGGCATCAAAAAATATACCAAGAATCATCATCTTGGATGTGTCCAATAAAGATGTCTTCAAAAATGATGAGGGATTTAAACTAACGGAACGATTTGCTCACTCCAGAAATTTAACAGAAACTTTGTCCCACCATTGATTTATTCCATTGCAAACTTGTGCTGATATCAAGGGCTCAATAGTCCAGAGCCAAGTAGCTGATGGTGAGATAACTGAAGATGGTCAGGATTCTGACCAAGACTCTTGTTAGCACCTTTGTTTGGAGCCCTCCCAGATGTTGGGTTCCTGTACAACATGTCATCTACATAACTGATGTACCAGAAATGCAGGGACAAAGTGGTCATTTTACAGAATTTATCCACCAGACACCGAAAAAAAAAAACCAAATTATTCACTCGCATGTAAAGTTAAAAGTTGTCATATGTATATTTAATACTAATAGTAATACTTATGATAATGGTTTAATACTATTGCTAAACATATTTAATGTTGGCTTTTCTTATTTAGTGTACATTTTATTCATTCCTTTTATGTTTCTTGTTTAACTGTTTATTGTATCTGCTTGTAAGCTCACAGGGTTGCCCTCCTGGATTGATGCGAGTCTTTTTTAAAGCAAAATAAATAAATACAAAAAAAGTAAATAAATATGTCAAACAAAGTTACTGAGTTTAAGATTGAATTTGTGTTAGTGATTAAAAGTATGTAGTGTTATAATTAGAAAACAGTGAAATTTAATTGTTCCCAGGTTATAATTCATAGTGACATTTTTTGTTTTATTATTTATTAGAATTTTGCAATGCTTAAATAACTAGATCTTTCCAAAATTATCAGTCATTTTTTTCCCATGAACATTTTGAACTCTGATAGAATCAATTTTATTCAAATTTCTGTCTCCAATGATCACACAAGCATTTTTTGTCAAGCATGTGTTGTCAAATTGAACTGCAGTTTAGGATACATAAGGGTTGGGGGGTTGAAACCAGAAGTTGCTGATATAGAAAATACACCATTTTCTCATTGGGAGTTTATATTGAAGGGGTTGAGTTGAGATAAAAATATTTCTATCATATATTGCCAAAATTTTTCAGTCGTGTAAGTTCCATTTCTATTGTTAACTATCTACGTAATTATTTGACCCCTCCAAGTTAGGGTACGGGAGTCAATTTTTGAGCTGCAGCCATTTTTGGATGGTCATAAATCTGTGATATGTTTGATTGGAATAATCTTTCATTCTGGCTATAGTCTATATCTCAAATAACCAATTGCCATTAAAATATTTGGTCTCGGCCAATAGTTGACCACACAACCTAAGGTTAAAATCTTAAAATAATTAACTTTGCCAAAATAAAACTGATTTTGAGATGCTCATAACTTTTTAATGCCTATTCAGAGCTTGATTCTGAAGCCAGAATCAAAAAGTATGGGCAAAAATGAGCTCGAGTAGCAATTTTCAGCTTTCTAGTATATCCAAAAATGAAAATATTATCTTTCAAAAACCCTAACAAGATATCGCTGCTCTTCGTGAGTCTGAAAGAGGGGAGTGTCTTCAAAATTTAAATGTGCCGTAACTTCGGAACACTTGAAACTTTGGGATTTTTCATAATACGCCTCCAAGTATATTTGGTTAAAACTTCAGCAAAATCCAAGATGGTCACCTAGGAACCCCTGGTTGAGTTGGCATGGAATGACTCAATATTAAATAACTTAGAAATAATACAATAACTTAAAACAACAGCAATAGTAATATAGTATTAATAATAAAAGTAATATGTTAAATAAAAAATAACATTAATATTAATCATTATAATACCAATTATGAATTTGGCATCCCTTCAGTTGAATCCCGTTTTAAATATTACACCCTCTTAACCCTTTGGTTAAGCAGTTTTTGCACATGTCTAAAGAAATCTTCATTTTCGTAACGTTTGGGGACATAGGGGTATGTGGGTCTTTAGGACCTTAATGGAGTAACGCCCCTACCCTGTGATGCATAGTTTTATTAGGGTTTGCCTTGGGGTATGCGGGTCATTAAGACCTTAGTGGTGTAACAACACTACCCTGTGATGCCTAGTTACCATTGTATTGTTTCTTTGTGCGGATATTATGGCTCTTGTAGAAAATAAAGGAAATTAATTGATATTAAATAGTAAAAAATGTATAACACTAACAATAACAATAATGATGATAATGATAATGGTGATACTTGATGATGACGACGACAACGAAGACTAATTATGGTGATGATGATGATGATGATAATTATGATGATGCTGATGACTAATTTACTCCTACAGTACCTTCGAGGAATTCACCAAAGATTTCAGGACAGACCAGCACTTGGGTACATTCAGGATTACAAAATGAAGTTATATAATCCTGAATGAAAAAAAAAAAATGAAATATTGATCGATAAATCTATAGAAAAGAAAAATATATTAAATATATACTTTGCAAGAAACAGTCAGATTGAAATTAATGGTACTAAAGCTGTCGAGCAACAAAAATATCTGACGGAACAGAATAAAACAACGTAAAGTGATCATTACCAAAATGGGTGAGGTTTCAAACAAGAAAAAATGTCGACATCAAATCAATAAATATCATAAAGAATTTTCTCTGGTTTTAACGTAAATAAATCAGCCAGGCAGAAATGAGCTCAATATAATCGTACAGTACTGTCAAAAAAAAAAATGTCCAGATCTATCTGGACTAAACACTGTATATTACGTCAAGTACTATTCATAGTCTTGGAAATTCCAGAATGACATCATTCTAAAAATAGAAATGCACTGAAGCGTGACTCACTGGTTTGTCATTTGAAAATGACATCATTTAAAAACAGAAATGCACTGATGCGTAACCCACTGGTTTATCGTTAAGTATTCATACTCAAACTACTGATATTGATTTTAATATTTATTTAAATTAGCAAGGAGTATATTCAGTGTAAATTGTAATGCTTGGATAACTAACAAAAGACCGACTCTAAATTTAATATTTATTATTCCAAATCCTCACTGCCACTAGATCCTGATCAAAAAACTTAATTATTTTTCTATTCAGTTCGGAATCTTTTAGAAACATATCAGTTACATCATCATCATAACATGGTCTAAAATTAGACTATTTCTGACCATGAAGTCATCAATTTTCATACATTGTTATTGTCGTACTTTGGAGCGTCCCCTTGTGATAAAGAAACATTTAAACAGATATTGAATGAATAACAAAATATTACTTACCTTTGCTTCTTTCTGACGCTGACCATTTACCATGACCCAAGTAAGCTCTTTGTCGTCTGCGTTTTCCTGAATTTCAATAAAGACGTTGAATTCGGCTTTGATCCGTTCAATCTCTTGCCACAGCTGTACTAAGGATTGGCTCTTCACTGTGAATGTCATCGACATTTTGGAGGTACTTGGCGTTTGCATCGATAATCCTGTATATCATTTATTCCAGAAGTGACCATGAGTACTCAAAACACATTTTTTAATGAGGGTAGTAACACATTTATAAAACATTATAGATTATGACTCCTGCCAACATTACTGTTGTCAGACTCTAAACATTCATTATATGTTGGAAATTGATTGATTTTATTCAGTATCAGTAAATAAAAAATACAAGTTAACAAAGACAGAAAAAACAAAGACATGATACTAAAGATGACCCAACAAGAAAGGTAAAAAAGAAAACTTATTTCCAATGGAGTCTCCTTAAAGGTACATTAAAAACAGAATACAAATTCTACAAAACATACAAGTAAAAAATCAGCAAAGATAAAAACATGGCAAGGATGAATAAACAGTAAAAATAGACGATAAAATATATTGCAATAAAAAATGTAAAATTTCATTTATTAAAAGTAAAAATGTTTAACAAAGTGAAAACTTTTAAATTAATAAAATGTTACCATAAAATCAGCTTAAAATGTTCCTTAAAATTATTAACACCATTTATTTCTTGAATACAGTGAGGAAGACCATTCCAAACTTTTATGTAGAATGGCCTACATAATAAGAACTCTGAAACGTGTACTGTTTTGATGTGAAGTGTTGAACATGGTACAGAAGACTTAATATTAAAAAATTTTATGAACATGGTCTGCTTCAAACCCTAGATTTAACCAGGGAGTTCAATTTGCCCTGTGAGATTGCTTTATTATGTTGAAAAGTCTGCTTAAAAAAAGAACTTTAATAAAATTTAATATCATGCCTAATAATTTTTAAAAATACAGACGAAAAGATTAATTTTTTTGACAAGTTCTTTATTGTGATTCTCCGCCATGCGCCTAGTTTTATCCAATAGGTGTAGGACTGTGTTACAACCATGTCCTGTGTATATTTGTTCAATTCAGATTTGATTTGTACAGTAAGCCTAATAATTTGTTACTTCCTTTTTCCACAATCAGACAATAAAACCTACATTGCACAATATCAATGGCACTCCCATGGGACATCATAGGCCTAGCTAGCCTAGTCCAGGTTGGTGTACAGGTTGGTGTACAACATTAAATATCAGATATAATGAAAACATAACAACGCAAGAAACGATGATTACGGATATGTAAAAAAGTAGCTTTCTCGTTCAAAAACTGTTCTGTTCAGTGTTGACCATGGAGCCAGAAAGTAGGATCATGTTCTGGTCATGGAATTACAGAAAATCTCAGAAACTCTCTGGTCTGATTATCCATTTTCTTACTGTCTCATTAATTCATTTTACCCCACTTATATTCCTTGTTCATAATGTACACATTTATTCCTTGTTCATAATGTACACATTTATTTAAAGGCTAATATATAATAGGACTTTCTGGTGAACCACTGTAAAATAGAAACGACATGTTATTATTTAAGCATAAAAGGAAACATGTATAAAGTATAAGCGCAAGCACATGATGATAGATACCAAACGATAAAATCTGCTTGCGACCTGTTTATTTAGAGAGCGCCTAAATACATTTCCAAAATATGCTTGAAACTACAAATATGACAGTAAACTCACGGTGTAGGCCTGAAAACTAACTAATAAAAAAAATAAAGTACAGAATGATTTAATTTTGAAGAAACAAATACAGTTACTTGACTTTTATGCCGATGATCTTTAAAAGTATTTTCAGTTGCAGTTTTAAACGTTTTACAGTAGGTAGGTGCGGATTCCATGTCAAAGTTCATAACCCTTTGTGCGTGTCAACAATTGTCCACAGACATTTTTGTTGCTACTGACGCCGTGTGTGATGCACTTTTTGTTGAATGAATGAGTAGAGTAACACATCTTTCATTAATGTGTATTTATATAGGTAGCTTTTAGACATGATTTCAGAACAAAAAGAAGATGAACAGGTAAATAACTCTTTCCTACACTACTAATAATAGTCCTGGGCCTCGTAGTCGTATTCGTATATGGTATATCTGACTGAATGTTTTGGACATGGTTCATCTATCTAGTCTGGTTTTAATTTTCTGAGTATATAGGCCTATATATATATATATATATATATATATTTTTTTTTTAACTAAGGAAGATGTATTTGAAAAGCTGCATGTGTATGTACTAGTACTACCACAGGGTTCGTGTTTCCTCAAAATGCTCCATCAGCAAATAGTTGCTGTGGGATAGGGCTTTTACTACAGCAATTTATTTTGAAGTAGACTTCTACAGCAATATTAAGCTTTGTAAATTGTTTTGAGAATAGGTATATTCTATAAATTAAGTGTATAATCCACTGCTGAATCAGGGGACTCATCAGCAACAAGTTTGCTGTCGAGCCTGAGATTCAGCAGTGGAACACCCTTTCTGCAGCAGTTGCAAGCCTTGCAGGATCTTAAACCTTGAAACAAACCTTTTCTACAATGAGGCTATTATGTTTAAAATATTTCATGATTTAGCACCATCATATCTTAGGAACAGATTTACTTTAAGAAATCTACAATACAGTACAAGAACAATGGATGTCTTATGTACTGAAAAACCTAAAACAGGATATAAAAAAAGAAGTTTAACTTACCATGGTGCTAATTTATGGAATAATTTAAATGATGAGTATAGAAATTCAGCAAATATTAATAAATTTAAAGAAAACATTTTAATCTAATCTAACTTCTGATATTAAATTAATCAATTATGTATATTAAATTAATTAATGTATATTTTTTTGATTTATTTTAAACTAAAGATACTATTTAATTTCACATTTTAATCACATTTATTACTTAATCAAATTCTGTAATGTTTATACTTTTGTTATGTATTTTGTATTTTTATATTTTACCACTTATGGCCTTGCACGGCCTTGAGGAAAAACACCCTTGGGTGATCAAGTTCTTCAGTGTTTAAATAAAGTAATTATTATTATTATTATAAGTGCTGTTGGGAAATTCGAAACCTGTACCAAACATGGTTAAGATGGTGATGGCTATATCTTTTGCAACACAGGCCTTGCATTAATAGCAACGTCCATGCACCAAAATTTTATCATCATCATTGGATACAGTTATCAGCGCTTACAGCTAATTCACAGCAAAAATAGAATCAAGAGAAAAACAGTGTAGTCGCTAGACTTAGCAATCAATTTATCTTCTGCGCTATATCATTATAACGCGCTCACCGCCTTCAAACCCTACAGTACCACCCGAGGAACATGGCTCAAATATGTAAAAATCAGATTTTTCTTAACTGAAATTTTGCCTGGAATGGGGCTTTAATTAAAAGACCATCTATGCCTATGTCTACTTTTGTAATTTCTGTGATGAAATTAATAATAGTTTTTTTACTTTTGCTGTAGCCTGCAGGTGAATCTGCTCCTGTGAACACGCCAGCACACTATGAGCCTCCCCCTCTTGTACCTGTACAAGCAAAGCCTCCAAAGCTGAGGGCTAGAAAAGGTAAATTTGGTTCTTGAGTCAATTTGCTAATTTGCTGTACTATGATAGAATATAGGGAATTGAAGTAGTGCCTAAAGGCTTGTTTATACGTCAACAATAACGATAACAATAAAAAAAAAGCTAAAAAGCGGTTGTTAATGTAGAAAACAAAAGAAATAAGGGAAGTTTTTACACTAGGACGATTCGATAACGATTTATCATGTATGCGATAACAAAATATTTTAACAAATCAAATCAGATGACGTCATAATCATGGAAAAACGATAAAATCGTTGCTACTACTACGATTTTAATGTTTTTCCGTGATTATGACGTCATCTGATTTGATTTGTCAAAATATGTTGTTATCGCATAACTTTTATTTTACTCAAGTTTAAAATTGGTTTTATGTACAGCCACATTGGAAATAAGTAGTCATTTTGACTTATTGTCGTTTTGGTCCATTGCCGTTCTGGTAACAAAAGTGTTGTCATTTTGGTTTATTGCTGTTTTGGTCATTGCTGTTTTTATTTTTTCCCGTTTTGGTTTATTGCCATTTTGCCTAGAAAGCAATTGCTTCCTTACTTTAAATCTCTGTCCACACACTATCAAATGTTATGTAATAATAACGGCATAATGATGTCATATTACACCCAAGGCCTATTTAGTAGACTATTCTTCAAATAATGGTAACAATTTTTCAATCATAAAATTAATTAAAAAGCTGTCAATGATTATATTTGAAACATAATTTGATTAATTTTTAGTTCCTATGCATGTAATGCAATAGGAACTATTGTAATCACTCTTAGTCACATTTCTTTTGTTTTTTATTGTGTGTAGTGTGTGTGTGTGTAGACATTTATGCAAATGCGCATGCGTCAAAGAAAAGTTTTCCGACATTTTGTTTTACATCGCGATGGGAAGATCGATGTGAAGTTGCTGCAGAGTTCAGTCAGGACTCGCGCTAACCGACCGGAAAGTCGGCATGGATGAAACTATTTTGGTTTTACGGCAAAAAAAAATCAACTGCTGTAGGCATAGGTATTTTAAAGAAGGCCTAAAATAAAACTAAAATGTTTTAATACTTGCTGAAATACATCGTTTTTTTCATTTAGATCTCCATTTTTCACTAAGTCCATGCGACGTTTTTTTCTGTTGTATACGTATGAGTAGTCATATGAAGGTACTATATCCCCGACAGTTGGCTGTGCACCAATGTACCTTTTGAATAATAATAATAATAATTTATTGAACATACACTTTTGTTACAGTGGCACTCATCAATTGACGGTGCGTTCAAGACCAACAAATTTACAAAAGAAGTTACATTAAAAAAAATATAAAAGCACAAGCACAAAATTTGAAAGCCCCTTCTTATCATAACTTAACAATGAAACTTAAATTAAACTACTTAAAGTAAATAAATACAAAGTAGATACAGAAATACAGACTTATTTTCCTGTACAGTACTATGGCCAAAACTTACACACGCACATCTGGGGAAACACAATCCAAAAAGAGAAATATTGAGAAGAGGTAAAAAAAAAAAATAAATAAAAATAAATAAATAAATAAAATCAATAAATAAATAAATAAAATTCAACATCACAACATAGCAAATCATTAAAAGAATACAAGCTGTCTCTTATACACATCTAGATGTGTATAAGAGACAGATAATGTACACATTTATTTAAAGTAAATGCTCCATCAGCAAATAGTTGCTGTGGGATATGGCTTTACTACAGCAATTTATTTTTCTTTTACAGCAATAAGCTTTGTAAATTGTTTTGAGAATAGGTGTTCTATAAATTAAGTGTATAATCCACTGCTGAATCAAGGGACTCATCAGCAAAAAGCTTGCTGTCGAGCCTGAGATTCAGCAGTGGAACACCCTTTCTGCAGCAGTTGCAAGCCTTGCAGGATCTTAAACCTTGAAACAAACCTTTTCTACAATGAGGCTATTATTATGTTTAAAATATTTCATGATTTAGCACCATCACATCTTAGGAACAGATTTATTTTAAGAAATCCACAATACAATACAAGAACAATGGATGTCTTATGTACTGAAAAACCTAAAACAGAATATAAAAAAAGAAGTTTAACTTACCATGGTGCTAAGTTATGGAATAATTTAAATGAGTATAGAGATTCAGCAAATATTAATAAATTTAAAGAAAACATTTTAATCTAATCTAACTTCTGATATTAAATTAATCAATTATGTATATTAAATTAATTAATGTATATGTTTTTGATTTATTTTAAACTAAAGATACTATTTAATTTCACATTTTAATCATATTTATTACTTAATCAAATTCTGTAATGTTTATACTTTTGTTATGTATTTTGTATTTTTATATTTTACCACTTATGGCCTTGCACAGCCTAGATGAAAAACACCCTTGGGTGATCAAGTTCTTCAGTGTTTAAATAAAGTAATTATTATTATTATTAGTGCTGTGGGGAAATTCTAAACCTGTACCAAACATGGTTAAGATGGTGATGGCTATATCTTTTGCAACACAGGCCTTGCATTAATAGCAACGTCCATGCACCAAAATTTTATCATCATCATTGGATACAGTTATCAGCGCTTACCGCTACTTCACAGCAAAAATGGAATCAGAGAAAAACAGTGTAGTCGCTAGACTTAGCAATCAATTTATCTTCTGCGCTATATAATTATAACGCGCTCACCGCCTTCAAACCCTACAGTACCACCCGAGGAACATGGCTCAAATATATAAAAATCAGATTTTTCTTAACTGAAATTTTGCCTGGAATGGGGCTTTAATTAAAAGACCATCTATGCCTATGTCTACTTTTGTAATTTCTGAGATGAAATTAATAATAGTTTTTTACTTTTGCTGTAGCCTGCAGGTGAATCTGCTCCTGTGAACACGCCAGCACACTATGAGCCTCCCCCTCTTGTACCTGTACAAGCAAAGCCTCCAAAGCTGAGGGCTAGAAAAGGTAAATTTGGTTCTTGAGTCAATTTGCTAATTTGCTGTACTATGATAGAATATAGGGAATTGAAGTAGTGCCTAAAGGCCTGTTTATACTTCAACAATAACGATAACGATAAAAAAAGCTAAAAAGCGATTGTTAATATAGAAAACAAAAGAAATAAGAGAAGTTTTTACACTAGGACGATTCGATAACGATTTATCATGTATACGATAACAAAATATTTTAACAAATCAAATCAGATGACGTCATAATCATGGAAAAACGATAAAATCGTTGCTACTACTACGATTTTAATGTTTTTCCGTGATTATGACGTCATCTGATTTGATTTATCAAAATATGTTGTTATCGCATAACTTTCATTGTACATTTTCAAGTTTATAATTGGTTTTATGTACAGCCACAATGGAAATAAGTAGTCGTTTTTGACTTATTGTCGTTTCGTTCCATTGCCGTTCTGGTAAAAAAGTGTTGTCATTTTGGTTTATTGCTGTTTTGGTCATTGCCGTTTTTATTTTTCCCCGTTTTGGTTTATTGCCATTTTGACTAGAAAGCAATTGCTTCCTTACTTTAAATCTCTGTCCACACACTATCAAATGTTATGTAATAATAATGGCATAATGATGTCATATTACACCCAAGGCCTATTTAGTAGACTATTCTTCAAATAATGGTAACAATTTTTTTAATCATAAAATTAATCAAGAAGCTGTCCATTATTATATTTGAAACATAATTTGAGCAAATTGTAGTCATATGTCTGTTTTCTTTATAATCTTGAGTTCCTTAAACATTATTTTACAGCTCCTGAGTTACCGGTGTTTGAGAGGAAGAACTGGCTAATACACCTTCACTATGTCCGCAAGGAATATGAAGCATGCAAGGTAAGGCCACTTGATATGAATTTATTACACAACCCTAGATATATTCTCTTTAGGTACACTGTACACTTAATTTTGTGTAAGGAGTTGAAGCACAGCTCCAGGGGTTACAAGTTTGAAGACATTTTTGGTAGGTGTGGTTAAATGAGCATTTTTGACATTTTGCTATGGAGTGAAAATACCCATTGCCAATTGATTTCAGGGAGCCAATTGATAATACAGCAGTAAAAACATGCAAATATCATGTATTTGTGCGAGATGGGATAGTTTCCAGGAGATTTTTGCTTGCTCCTGGAAGTGGGAAAAGCCTTCCCGATTTTCCGGGAGACTCCCACAACTTGTGGAAGACTTGGGACCCCTGAAAATTGTTGCTTGCTGTCTTTCCCAAGCTCCTGGGTCCAAATCATGGAAAATACCAGGAATGAAAACAACTCAGCTTCCTAAATCATCCAAAAGTGCACTGTTGCTCATTTTGGGATAATTGGGATAATTCACCGGGATTGGTATAATTTACCTATAATGATAATTTACCTATGTAATGATTATGATGATGTTAAAGATGATAATGGTGTTGATGATGGTGATGGTGGTGGTAATGGCGATGGTTCCATGATGTTTTGTTATCTAGACAGTATGAATCTTTAAAACTTCATTCAGCTATAAAGCTCCTTACATCTACAACTCTCTTCCACCGATTGTCTGTTCTTTTCTCTTTCTCTTCTTTCAAATCCAACCTTCTTAGCTATCTTTCATCCAATCTTGTGTAATTTTCCCTGTGGCCATCTCTTTTTGTTGCAATATTTTTAATCGTTAATTTTTTCTGTTTTAAATTGTAAATTATTTATCTTTTATAATCTTTTATAATTTTTCTATTTTTGTTAGTTCAATTTATTATCTTCTCATTAATTCTTTTGATTTATTTTTTATTTCAGTTATTTTTCTGTCCAATATGTCAATTTTTTAAATTTTTTTAAATTTTAATGTTTTCCTTTAAAATCATTATTTTATATAATTTATATACTGTAGGCCTATATCTGTTTTTTCTGACTTTTATTATTAATTTTTTCCTGGTCTAATAATAATCAAGTTTAATTTTTATACTTATGTTTTAATTGTATGTACTAAGGGTCCCAATTGATCAGCTCAGGCTGGATGGACCACCCTCACAAAATATTGTTGGAATAAATAAATAAATAGTATTTAATAATAATAGAAATACAAACTTTGTTTTGTTGTAGTCATTGATTAAAGAACAGCTGCATGAAACCCATGGCATGTGTGAGTATGCCCTCTATGTGCAAGCGCTGATTTTGCGTCAAGAAGGACGGATTCAAGAATCGTTGGAATGTTTTCAGACATGTCATTTGATCAACTCTCAAAATCCTGATAATCTGAAGCAAGTTGGTAGATCCCTGTAAGGCCTGATTATTTCATTATATTTTATTCTCACATTTCTTCAGTGTATGGGGCTTGCATCGCCAAAATCAGCATCAGTGGCAAAAACGTAAAAACGTACTATTTAGTATATTTACTTTATATATTTTATATATATATATTATTATATTATTATTATTATTATATTATTATTATTATTACTATTATTATTATATTATATTATATTATTATTATTATTATTATATTATATATTTTAGTATATTTACTTTTCAGTATATTTATATTCTCCACATAAAGCTTTAAGATGATGGGTCATTTACTGAAATTGATTTAATATTGGCAAAGTTATGGGTAAAAGTAGACATTTAGTTTTCAATTTGTTAACTTTTTTAGATTAGATGCACTAATTTTATATTTATTAGTGGCAGATCCAAGGATTTGAAATAGAGGGGGACTTCCACAGATGTAAGGTCTCAGCCCCACCATTGGTTATGGCTGAGGTAAGTCTCTCAGACTTAAAATATGACCTCAGGCTGGATGCCCCCCCCCCCCCATCACTCCCCTTGAATCCACAACTGTTTATTCTTCTGGTAGTAATTTAATGGTTTTATACACAAAATGTAAAACAACAAATACATTTATTTTGTGGCAACTGACATTTGGGTCCTTTGTTACTCATTATGTTAACATTCGCTGTTAAATATTTATCTTTTATTATTTCAGTTTTCTTTTGGGGCGTCATAAAGCGGCAACTGAGGTGTACAATGAAGCATCCAGAATCAGTGAGCGTGACTGGGAGATCAGCCACAATCAAGGCGTCTGCTACATGTACCTTAAAGAATTCATGAAGGTAAGGGTTGGGGTGGTGGGGGGGTGCAGGGTCTAGGATTTTAAAAATATAGTAAATAATTGGTTACGGAATGTATAGCAGATGGTGGTGGGGAGGAGGGTCTAGGATTTTTCAGGCTGTGTATTGTTTCTTCTCTGAAATATCAAGGCAATTCAATTTTGGCTGATATTCAGATGTTTTACTACAAAAATTCTCATCTCATTCACCTGAGGAATCATGGTATAATTGAAAGCTTGTAATAATAATACATTTTTTTAGTCTTCAAAAACAAGGGCTGTCATTTATATTCTGTCTGTCATTTATACTATTTTCAATGTATCAATGCATTTATGATTGACTCTTTTAGGCCAAGGAATGTCTGAAGCAAGCCATTAGCTTTAACAAGCACGATCTGTCCTATGTGATGCTTGCCAAGATCTACCTGATGGAGGGAGATGTCCACATGGCTATTGATGTCTACAAACGTGCTATAGAGTGAGTTTATGTTTACGTTTACGTGAGAACTCAAAAGGGTCCCTCAATTAAGACTTAGGGACATCAAGGAATAAATACTTAGTGTGCATGGCATTGGGCAACGGACATGACACAGAAAAAGAAACAAAAACATGTACAGGAAAAATAAACTTGGGCAACGGACATGACACAGAAAAAGAAACAAAAACATGTACAGGAAAAATAAACTTGATTAAAACTTGACTTATCCATTAGATAAAATTTGTGGGAGGTAATTCTTGAACTCCTGGAAGGATAGTTCAATGAGGGCTCTGCCAGGGAGATTATTTCACCAACCAATGATGTGTGGAAGGAATGAGTGGTGATATAGAGAATTTGGTAAAGAAAATATATCTATGTTTTTAAATTTTTTCATTTTAATTTGTATATTGTTATTACAATTTTGTTCTCAATTTGTCATGCAATAAGTAGTTTTAAGTACAGTATATACCTATTGATTTGAAATACTCAAAATAATTTTGTTTTAAAGAATTTCACCCGAGAATCCAGAGTTGTTGACAACTATTGGTTTACTCTATCTGCAGGTAAGTGAAACATAAATAAATCTTTTAACACAAAGCTAACCCTCTAAGTGGAGACCGAATCCTGAGACCACCCCAAATTGTCAGGTCCCAAAGTGGTCTCAAATTGGAGGGCGAACTGTATTTATGTATCCTTTATAGCTTCATGATGTATCCATTCAGCAAGATCTCAATGAAATACTGATGTGATTGGTCCATATTTGCTAAATAATATGTTTATTTTGTATTTTTACAGGTCAATCAAAACCAAAAAGCATTTGAAAACCTAGGAAATGCTTTGACGTATGACCCATCAAATGTCAAGGTATGTTCAGTAGATGCATGTACTGTATTACAATATACATGACTAATATTAACTTGGCATAATACTCTCAGATAACATAAACTTTCAGATTTTGTTTGTCAGACTCAACATTAAGTCCTATCCAGGCTATCAAATTTTATTGACAAAAACATGTGACATGCCTAAATATGGTCATGATGACATCACATCATGACCATATATAGGCACATGATGACTGTATATGGACATACAATGCAAAGAAAATTTGTCATAAAGAGTATGCCTTCAAATATCTGATCAGACAATAGTTATGGTTATTATATAAAGGTATAACATTTATTGCTATTTATTTGTTGTTTTCAATCAATCCAAAGGCAATTCTAGGTGCAGGTAGCATGATGCAACAACATGGTGATTATGATGTCGCTCTGAATAAATACCGCATAGCAGCAGTGGCCGTTCCCGAGAGTGCTGCCCTCTGGAATAACATCGGCATGTGTTTCTTTGGAAGGAAGAAATATTTTGCGGTATGTACTGTACTTATAAACATATTAGTCAAAATAAAATTTTTGTTTATTCATTAAAAACTATTCATTAAATATTATTACTATTATTAATACCATTTTTTAGTATACTGCGCTTGCGCAGATATATCTATGCTGTGGTAGTGGAATTTTTCTGTAAAGTGGAATGTGTTAAGGTTCATTTGACTGGCATGCCAAGTATAGTGTGAATGTAGTTTTATTAGTGAGTTTGCAATTGGTTGTATGTTTTGACAGATGGTTAATGGCTGATAGCACTTTTCCGATGATAAACTGTGTTTAGACTAATTTTGACCTAGTTTCTGCAGTGTGCTCATGTTGCTATGTGGAGACTATTTTTTTTTTTTTTTTTTTTTTTTTTAAATATTTTGATTCACCATATTGTACATTGCTGTGTTTCTGTGTACACTGCTGTTTTAAATGTTTTCTTTATGAACGCACCGTCAGTGTGCCGCTGATGGAAAGGCGTAGTTTTTCAAATAAAGTATTATTATTATGGTTATTATTATTATAGGCCAAAAAAAATTTGTATTGCCAAACCTGATTGACCTAAAATCTCATAAAATGTGAATAAATTGTATGATGTTTAATTTTGATATATAGTCATGATATGCCTATATATGGTCATGATATGCCCATATATAGTCATGATATGCCTATATATGGTCATGATGTGATGTCATCATGACCATATTTAGGCATGTCACATGTTTTTGTCAAATAAAATTTGATAGTGTGTACAGAGCTTTAAGATAAAATTTATTGCCCATGTTTGCTTTCCTAGGCTGTAAGCAGTCTGAAGCGAGCTAACTACTTATCGCCCTTTGACTGGAAGGTACTGTACAACTTGGGCCTAGTTCATCTTAGCATGCATCAGTATGCCTCTGCATTCCACTTCATAAGTGCCGCAATCAACATCCGTCAAAAACAGCCTGGCCTCTACATGCTTCTTGCAAGTAGGTTCCTAATCAAATTAATATTACAATACCATGTTTTTGAAATAACACTTTTGGGACTGGAGTATCCATGGTCTTTAGCAGCTTTAATCTCTAATCAGAATAATAAAGATAAAAGACATTTGTGGCAAAGACAAGCCAAACCAGTCACTCGTCGCAAATCGTGTTACAGAGAAAATGGCCAAAACATGCTGGAATGTCAAATTTTAAAAAATCTATTTTATTGCACTAAACTAAACTTGATATATCTATACATCATTCTATGCTGTTATTTTCCCCATTTTCAATGTTAAAACAACAATTTTTAAGGATTTAAAGATAGTTTCTGCATGAGAAATGCCTGAAATCATAAACAAATATATATTGTTCTTTAAACAGCTGTGTGATTAAACGCTTGTAACTTCATAAGGAAATGTCCGATTTGAATGATTTTTTTACCATTTTATAGCTATTATTTTACTCTCTAACACTGTATTAATAACTCAAAATCGATTTTTGCGACGAGTGACTGTTTTGGCTTGTCTTTGCCACATTTGTTACTATGGGACCACATGAATGTCCCGGAGGCTTTTTGGGGGGAAAAATTAAAGAAAATTAAACTGCTATTTGTCGCTGGAGGCAATTTATTGAGATAATTTTCATGGCCGAAGGCACAAACATTTTTTTTTCCAGGTCTGTGGACTACAAACCAGTATTAGTAACTTAAAGCCCATAGTGACCCTGAGGTTATTTGTATATATCAATTAAATTATATGCATTAATAATAGCATTAATTTATTCTTATTAGTTGCATTGTCAAACCTTGATGATCCTGATAATGCTAGGCAGGCCTATGAACAAGCAGCAGCTCTTGATGAGTAAGTACAGTGGAGCTTTTACCCTGTTTCCTCTGCTAGAAAAACCACTATTTGCAACCCTACTTGTACACCTACTGTACGCCTAACAGTTGCGAATCCATTGCACAAGGAACTATAAGCAAGCACAAACTTACTTTTCAGACATCTGATACATTTTTTGTTACTATAGCTATTTATGAAACTAGCATCGGAGAACACCTTTTTTGACTAACAAAATTTGATTAAAACATAAGGTTTTGCTAGATTTAGCTACTTCATCAGGTTCATAAGTAGAAATCAAAGTATTTGAGGCTTGCCATCCCAAAAAAAACCTACTGTCTCTAAATATTAAACTGCGTGATTAGCTTATGAATGTGGCAGCATTGTATACTTTAGTGCATTGAAGCCGTAATACTTTAACTCATAACTTTGGCAATAATAAACTGATCCCAGTAAATGAAATGATTTGACCCATCATTTTAAAGGTTATAATGTGGAGAATATGAATATATTAAAAAGTCAATTTTCATGTTTTTTCACTGATGTTGGTTTTGGCATGGCAAGCCCCATTTGTGTTCATAATTCGAAAAAAAATAAAACCAAAACACAAAGTACAGTATATAGATATGAATAAAGTCTTCTGTTCAACCATAATAGTGAAAGTAGGTGACTTAGAAAGTAATAATGTGGATAGTAATGTTGTAAGTAGGTCACCAATGACTTAAGGCCGACTCAGACAGCGTCGTACGACGCAGCCCGACGCGATTTGTTGTCGCGTCGGGTCTGTGTGAGTTAAACGCAGACGTGATGGTGTGCATCGTGGGCAGTCGCGTCGTAGAATATTAAACATGTTTAATATTTCTCACGAAGGCTTAAGACTTCCCCGATGATAAATTGAGTCGGGCTGCGTCGGCCGATGCTGTCTGATTTGGCCTTTACTCTCATTCACTATTATGCCAGTGGGAATACATTTTATTTTGCTATGACTTCTTGTTATATTTTTTTAAAACTATTAACTAATTACATTTCTGATATTTACTTAATGCGCTATTCCTTGTTATACATTAATGTATATTACATATAATATGTAAAGAAAAAATAATTATTAGTATAAATTATCAATGCACTATTTACTACTTGAAGGCATGATCCAGCAGTTAATTTGAACTTCTGTGTGTTCCTGTATAAGCAAGGGGATAGGAAGGCAGCAACCAAGCAGTTCTCACATTTTGAAAGCAAGCTGAAAAGGCTGACTGATTCTGGCAACTCTAACATTGACTATGAGGTATTTTGATTGGTTGATCTTTTTTATATTTAACTTCTTGGCTGTCTGGGTTCAAGTCCTCCAGTGAGTGTTGCTCAGAGCGCTTACAAAAATGCAAATGAGAGGAAAATAGAAAAGCTTAAAACCAACATGTAACAATAAAAATACACAAATATTCCAAATTGAATGATCAAAGCTGCTGAGTGTTATTACCCCTGGTCACTGGATAACATACAATGGCAAACCAGCACAAAGTGCAACCCTCTCTGCTCCCTGGGGAATATCCCTAGTCGTGCGCTACTTGCTTAGCACATGAAACTAGTACATTCAATGCTACAACATCCTACCAGGTACCCATTTATACTCCTGGGTGGAGAGAGACAAATGTAGATAAAGTTCCTTGCCCAAGGACACAATGCCTATGTTATAAAATATATGTATACTATTTGTGACCTTTTGAGCACTCGCCTTACAAACAATTCTCCATCTATGCATTTGAGAGCATTTAGAATATGACATTTCTTGTGGGGTGGGGGGATAAAACCCCAAGTTCCCATAACCCTAGGGGGTGGAATTTTCAAAAGTATACCGCCTGCAAATTTTTCTATCTTGGAATCTATGAAACCTGGCAGTTCAGTGGAAAAGCAGTGATCTGAAAATAATTACTGATGTTGATCATGTTAGCACCCTCTGTCTTGGCACGTGTGCAAAAATCTAGGGAGAAGCAGTGGGAGCCAATGTGTGAATGAACACTATGAACTTCTCCAACAGTAATAATAGTATGTATGTGTAATAGTGTTTGGCTTTTATGTAGTGCTTCCTATTAATTACATTCAGCACAATATCCTCAAGCTTTGCTCCCAAAAATTAATGGCTCCATTAATATACAAAGGACTTTCAGTGTTTACACCCAATTTCAGTTCCCAGATCTATCATCTAATTCAGGATTCTTTCTAACAAAATTTATTCATTCTTTCTGAAGCTTCTTGAAGTCAGTAGTAAACTTGGTCCTGCCTTGCAAGTTGGAGAAAGTCTTGTCTGGAAGAGCAAGTCTAAAGAACCAGTTTCAACACCTCAGAAAAAAGACCCAAAAAAAGAGGGCAGCAACAAGCCTTCTACTTCTGCTGAAGTCAGTGCACCTGTTCCACAAGTGTATTCTGATCCACCGCCACCATACCCAGGCCCGCCAGATGACCTGGAGAGAATGTTAGAGATGGCACCAGCACCCCCTACACATGACCCAAATGCTGCCGGAAAACATAGACAGGATCATGAGCCACTTCTGGCCGAATAATATCAATCAATATACAGTCTGTATTCCTTCTCACATTCCATTCATTAATTATGTAGAGAGTAAAGCTTGGTTTCCATACAATTGCTACACACGGCCTTTTCACTGCAATCTTTGCACTGCTTGACTGTCCCAGCCACAATCGGGAATGTTCTGTGAATCAACTAACCAATCAGCATTGCCAAAGGAGTTGGCGATAGCGTGTAGATATTTTTTTTGTAAAACCAGGCTTAATATAGAATAGTGACTACATGATTTCCCTTTTTGAGGTTAAGAAACAGACACAGCACCCTTATTAATGAAAATGACTGTTAATGCCTTAAGCCTGGCACACAACTGCTGCGATGGCCATTGGCCGATGCAATCGACCTTTCCGCAAAGCCCCGCCGCTTGTATATTATTGTTAAGATTACACAAAACAATAAAATAAATGTACGTAAACATGTGCATCTGTAGGACATGTGCATATTCCTGGGGCAGATTGCTATAAAACAGTCTTAACTGGTAGTCTTAACTCCTCTAATAAAGCCGGCTTTATCACTTAGACGGTCTTACTAAAGTCATTCCTCTAAGACCATTGCTATAAAACAGTCTTCCTTAAGACCGCTTTGAGTATTGAAACGCAAACACTCCCTGGTAACATAAGATTGGGGGCGACATTTGTGCTCGACGCACGCAAATGTATCGAAATGAACGTAAATAAATGTAGACCTATTTTTACAGATGCTGAGAAGCGTGCGGAATATTAATCATTTGATTCTCAGACTTTCACGATCTAGGAAGTCTTGCCATTGCACTGTTAAATTAATCAGCAGAATGCCATGATGAAAATGATTTAAGTCCATTTCAAGCCTCTTCCGAGTAGGCTTTAAAATTTAAGACGGCTAACTGGTTAGACCGCGGTATAGCAATGGTCTATAATCATAGACCAGTAGTGACATCACGATTATAGCCGGCTAACAAGTTAAGACCATCTAAAGACCGCTTATAGCAATCCGCCCCTGACCTTGTTCTGATTTACACTCTGGAGAGGTCAATTCCATGGAGAACGTTACGTGATGAGGTGTGCGCAGGGAATTGTTTTCAGTGACGATCCACTCAGTCTGTCACGTTAAGCACTGAGAGACAGCGGAGATAGATTCGTAAAGGAGGCAGTGTGTGTCTAGTTCTACAGATCTGATGTATATATGGAATTGATGTAAAGTAACATTTGGTATTATACGGTAGATATTTTTTTAGTATTGTCAAAAAGGAGTCGCGAGTCAACAGTGTATCAATGCATAGGCAGCACAAAATATCAACCAAAAAAACCACATACACACGTTGTTGAGATCCAATCGCATCCACTGTCTTGTTATTCAGCTGGACGGCTGAAGTGCAAGTTCAAATATAATCCATTGTTGATGGATAGTTTACTCTCATTAAAATTATTTTTTTTCGAATGCATATACAATTTAATGTAATGTACATACTGTACTGCTTTATAATAGCATCTTAGTAATTGATTTAAAAAATGAATATTTAATGTTTTATTTATAAATTGCATACAGAATGATGTGCTTTGTACCTTGATATAAAGTTGTGTATTGCAGCGATAATATTGCAAATTAGTGTGACATAGATTTAAGTATTTAATTTGCACAAAAAAAGATTCAAAATCTTGATATATTGTGTAATGTTTTGTATTATTCCACTTTAAATCAAGCCTTTGTAGCCTCTTTATACCGTGCAATTTGTATCAAGATCCATTCTTGAAATCCTCACATGGAATAAAAAGATATTTTTAGAAATTACTTTTGCATAAATTTCTTTTTTTTTAAAAATGTATTTATTCCTTCTTTTCTTTGTGATGCACCAACCACAGTCTGGTTTAAGATTGAAATTTTGAACTATACATACTCAAACTCAACATATATACATGAAAAAATACAGTAAAAATAGATCTTTTTCATATATTTATTCAAATGTTTTAGAAATAAATACTCTTTTGTAATGTAACTGTGCTATTTCTTTATTATATAAATACGTATATAAGTGGTGATATGAATTATCAGAAATAATATCAACAGTTAGGTTCCTGAATTTAATTAATTCTTTAATATCTATTAAAAATATTTCTACAAAAAAAATTAAGTAAATACAATAATTTAATAATTGATTACTTAGTGGAGAAGATAAGATAAGATAACTTTATTCCACCAAGGGAAACTCTTTGCTCGTCATTACAAAGACAAAATATATATAAAAATCTACATGAAAAACAGTCATTAAAAGTCATATACCAGCAACATCAACTTTTTGTTGATTTGTTGTGTCTCAGATTTACAACCCCTTCAATGGTATATAATTGAAAAACTGAAGAGTAAAACATGTATCTAAATAATTACCTAGATTATAAAAAAATATAGTAAATATAACTAATTAATTTATACTTTTTTTTTTCTACTAAGGCGAGACGTTTTTTTATAACTTGTTTGGCAAGCCCGCCGCGCCGCCAATAATGATTTCAAATAAAAATAAAATTTTATTTTTGGTCAATTAGTGCACTAGCTGCCATGAAAAAATGGAAATTTTAGAGAAAAATAAAAGGTTTTCTTTATTTTAATTACGCCCTCCGCTGCCTTGAAATCTCCAAAAATAATGTATATTTCTTCCTAATTATATAAATTTACATTCACCAATAAAATTTTATTTTTATTTTCTTCTCCATCTGGATGTTTTTGGCAAAACTTGTTTGCTAAATAAGAAAACAAAATTTTATTTTTATTTATTTTCTGCCCTCTGACGTTCTTTAAAGAAATTTCGCGAAACCAGGTATAGATAAAGTCTCGCCTAAGTTATAAATATCCTACTGTTTTATTCGTAATTGCTTGATTTTACTGACCATCAGCAAAGTTTTCTCCCAGGATATGTCCACACCTCTAAGTTGTAGTTGACAAATACCTGTGTGATTTGCCATATATGGGCATGATGACAGCCAATCGCATACAATAGTGTGGACGGCTTTAGTAATAAATAATTGACTATTGGATAACAGAGCTTATTACACTAATATCAGAATGTAGCTGAATGCATGTTTATTGTGTGGACAGGCTTTTACAGGGCTGCCAATATAGAAAGGAGAGAATATCATTAAATAAACTGCTTTCCTGCCTTAATAAAATGCTTAAAACTGATCAATTATTGGGATACATTTGGGTGTTTATTAATATCAGTCATTAAGAACAATGATCAATGAGGTGTTATTTTGTATATCAATAATGGAATGTCAGTAAGTTGAGGTGTCTTAATATGAATCTTATTTATGAAGACCAATAATCAGTAAGCTAAGGTGTCACTTTGCGTGTCATTCATGTTCTGTGAGTTAAGTTGAAATCTTGTAAATTATCCATGACGGAATATCAGCAAATTAAGGAGGCCTGTATGCTAAAGTATCGCTATGATGGACAATGGTCAATGAGGTAATCGGTTGTTTTGTATATTGTCCAACATGTATCTCACTCATGATGGGTATTGATCAGAGTGGTAGATTTTCATCTGGAATACCAGCAAATTAAGTACTCTTCCCTAATCATGATGGACTATGATCAGCAAGTTAAGGTGTCACCTTGTATATTGGTCATGATTGACAGTGTTGTGCTCTCTCCGAGGATAAATGTTCCGATTGCAACACAGGCAATGCCACACCCAACCAGAAGATGTTTACATCGTAAACTCCCTTCATAATAATGTATGGCATACTCAATTAGACATAAACCTAGAAAAAAATGAACAAAATAATTTTGTTAATAATTTTAAAATACAGGTCTCCCTCCAATTAAAGACCCCTCCAATTAAGGACTACCTCCAATTAAGGACTACCTCCAATTAAAGACCACTTCTGTGGTCTCATATTAACATATGTGGCAAAGACAGGCCAAACCAGTCACTCGTCGCAAAAATTGATTTTGAATTATTAATACAGCGTTAAAGAGTAAAGTAAGAGCTATAGAATGGTAAAAAAATCATTCAAATCTGACATTTCCTTATGAAGTTACAAGCATTTAACCATACAGCTGTTTAAAGAACAATATATGAGAAATCAGCCTTCAAAGTTTATGATTTCAGGCATTTCTCATGCAGAAGCTTTCAGAATGATGTCTAGATACTTAAACCTCAGTTTAGTGAAATCAAATATATTTTTAAAAATTTGACATTCCAGCATGTTTTTGCTATTTTCTCTGAAACACAATTTGGGACGAGTGACTGGTTTGGCTTGTCTTTGCCACATATATCTTTTATTTTTATTATTCTAATTAGAGAACCTAGCTGATAAAGACTATGAAAACCTCTGTCCCATAAGTTAAGATATTTGTTAATTTGGGACCACAGAAAAGTAGTCTTTAAGTGGAGGTAGTCTTTAAGTGGAGGTAGTTCTTAATTGGAGGGAGACTTGTATGCATTATATGAATATACAAGCCTTTCAAATTACAGTGGAAACATCGCAATTAAATAAATATCCACTTGGTATCAAAGTTGAAAAGAACATCAATATCAAAAACAGTATCAACAGCACAAAAATATATGGAAGCTGCTGTAAATGAGATAGAAACTCTGTATATGACTTTAGTGAACATGAAATTGAAGACGGATGTAAATAAACAGAAACTCCATGCTTTTTAAATGCATAGCACAAAAAATCAAACTGTTAGCTGATGGCACAAAACTTTATAGGATTGTGGACTCAAATAATGATATTGACGCTTTGTATGGTTGGTCATTGAAAATGTTACTTTATTAATAACAATGAGCTTGAAACAGTGGAAACTGAAAAGGATTTAGGGGCAACATTTGATCCTAAATTGAGCTTTGTTGCACATGTTGCCGATGTATCTAAACATGCTAATATGAAACTCGGTATCATCAAGAGGTTTTTTCGTTTTTTTAAATCCAGAGGTCTCTTGAAATTATATAAAGCTATTGAGACCTACTATTGAGTACTCTAATGTTGTATGTCACTCTGAAGTTCAAGAAAGATGAAGATCATCTTGAATAGGTATAGCAACAAGCTTCTAGAATGTTTCCAGAGTTTAGACATAAATTACCATCAAGATAGATTGTGAGCCTTAAATTTACCAACTTAAGTTATTGTAGACAGAGAGCTGATATTCTTCAGGCTTTCAGATTTGTTCAAGACATCCACAATGTTTCTGTGGATTTGTTTTTCAATTTTAACACTTCCAAAAATACCCAAGGTCATTCTTTTAAACTGCATCACCAGTATTCTAGAACTAATTTGAGGTTAAGATGTTTTTCTAGAAAATGTGTTGGTCCTTGGAATGCTTTGTCTGACGAGGACACTAATTCGGTCTCTTTAAATCCACACTGGAAAAAGGGTTGGTCTGACCACTCACCAAAATATGCGCAGTTCACTAAATTTTAATTTTTTTATTCATGAGGGCCCTATTAGCATTTATGCTCGGTCTCAATTCCCTGGAGGACTGTCGATTTCCTGTGACTCAAGTAAACAAGTGAATATTGAAACCAGCCTTTGCTGCCAGTGGCCAAGAAAACTTGCAACAAGCTTACATAAAAATGTGCTGAACTCAAAAATTACTACCACGACATAGAGGGCGTTCTTCACAAGAAAAGATATACACGTAAAAGTCACTCATATCGACATACAATGCTTGTAAAGAATGTCTGTTAAAATTCCGAACTCTATTCAAATTATGATAGGACACCCCCTATCTTGTGGTAATACTGCATTTTTTGTTTCATTGCGTGTATTTTTGTTTCATTGCGTGTATTTTTGTTTCATTGCGTGTATTTTTGTTTCATTGCGTGTATTTTTGTTTCATTGCGTGTATTTTTGTTTCATTGCGTGTATGCAAAATCAGGACAGTCAAACCTCTTGCTATTCTATACTCTGAGTTAACATACATAAAAACACAGGGAAACTAAAACAAGAGAATAACAATTGAAACATTACCTGGGAATACAAATATAAATATTGCTGCTAAGCCACCGATCACTGATATGACAACACCAATACTTGGGATAAACAACGCCAAGATCAACGAGAAGAACCACCATATCACAGTCTGAATAATTCGTCTTATTTTCTCTCTGTCTTCAATTTGTTCCGGTGTCAGTTTAAAAAATTTGACATACAAATCGTTGATTACAACCCTAAAGAGAAAAAAAGAAAGAATTAACCTGCTTTCAGCACGATGTTGATGCATAAGAATAATACGCTACATGCATGTTTGAAAAAATGTAATTACAGAACATTAATAGAATGTGTTGAGAATAAATACGTTCCTTGACATTGACTGCAAATAATTGATATTTGAAATTAATTTATATTCACCGACATTGACATTGATTTTACTGATGTTGATATTGATTGATTGACATACCTGCCACAAAAATGTAGGATTGGGTAAGCAGTTAAAACAGACGCTGCAATCATGATCCTAGCGATTGTCATGCTAACATCATCCGCATCGTAAGACTTGAGTATATCGCTACACGAACTTGTACCGTAGGTCAATGACCCAAAGATACCTGTTAAAGTGTACACGGTAAAAGCTAAAAACAAAGCTATTACACACACTTTGGAAAATTGCGCCACCGTACGTTTTTTCAGACTTGCGTAGACAGGGATCGAACTAATATGACACTATGATAGAGAAAAGGGAAAAAAATAAGGATAATATTTGAGATTTTTTTTTCTTTATAAGTCCCAACAATGCTTATTGTGGGAAATACATATATGAAATGAAAATGTTCTCATGATTGCTGAAAACAGGTCTCACTAAAGAGTATAAATAGAACAAGAGAACAATTATCTATAATAATCATATGATTTGGCAAATTTATAGGCAGGATGGATACATCAGTATTCAATTTAATACATTTATTTTTTGACCAATTAAAATATTAATATTAAAATTGAATTTAAACAAAAGGGAAAAAAATACTAGGCTAAACTGGAGAAGCAGGAGAATCACCAAGCAGGATATCAGTTTGATTGCTCTACCAATTTAATAAGCAATTTTTTAGTTTGAACTTTTGTAGTTTATGTTCATTGACCTTCAATATGGGCATGTGCATTTTAAACTATGTAGTGACTTATTATGATATCAAGCTAATATACATCATCATTATCACTGCTATGGTAATTTTGTTGATGTTAGAAACATAAACACAAATCAAATACAAACCTAAAAAGTTACAAAAGTAAATGGAATAATGTATTGGAAAACATTATGTTGCAAGAAAGTGGATGTTAAGAAGAAAATGCATTATGTATTGTCATCAGGGGTGGGGGGAACTGGTACATGGAATTTAAATCAAACATTAGCTTGTTTGGAGTACCATGCTCCCCTCTTTCTTCTTTCTTTTCTTTTCTTTTCGCTTTTTTTCTACATTTTTTGTGGGGGGGAAAGGGCGCCTAGCCCCTGTTTCCCCCCTCCCAAACCTGGACCCATCCCTGTTTACCTTGAATACTTGAGAAAATCAATAGCCTTTGGAATGCAAAGAGGCAAGACAACTAACACTGAAAACAGAGTCAGAGTAAATTTCCGGTTCATGTACCACTTATCCATTGAATTCTTGGCAATGAATTCAAGAACTGAAATTGAAAATAACAGTATTTATAAATATGAAGATACGAAACTATTGAAGAAAATTTTAATTATATACAGAACCAAAATGAAAGAACTATTAATTTATATAATTACACTAAGACAGTGAGTGTATTGATTGAACAATGTGAAAACTGAAAGTATATAATAACTTTTATTTCTTTGCCAATATAAATTCATGAAATTATTTAGGCTGTTCTGATCTAATTTGTATCTCTTCCAAAATCCAGTCACTGTCTTCCACAGCACTGTTGTTTTTCAGTATATTGCCTTTTATATATTTATATATTCCCACAGCATTTTTGTTTTTCAGTATTTTGCCTTTTAATCTACCTAAGATGTTATAATCGTAACAAGCATAGCCATACAACAAAAGTTTCGGTGCTGCGCGGTAAACCTAATACGAATGAGATAGAAAATCAATATGCAAAGGGAAATGATGCAAAGAATATTAATTGAAACTTAACAAAAATCGGATAGAATGAAAACTTAATCTCTACTGTAACTCGGACCCAGGATTGTTTTTTTTTTCTGTTTACTTATGATTCAAATAAATGAATTAACTAATATTTGGATACTTACAACTGTCTAACTGATCACCAATTACTATCATAAAGGTGATAGAAGTTCCAAAACAGTAGAGGAAGATGGTGATATTGCAGAAGAAGAGACCCAATGAACCACACATTTTCTGTACCACCTCCTGGTATGTAGAGCAATTGTGGATATGGCAACATCGAGCTAGCACCAATAATGACGAGCCAATCACAAGCAAGAGAATCTGAAAAATGGTGTAAATCATTGAAAACACTTAAAATTTTGCATAGCCAGACATGATGAGTGGAGTTGTATAACTTAGTGGTTAAATGCTTGCCTTCCAATCCCAGGGTCATGAAAAACAGGATTTTTTTCTCACGGCCAAACGAATCACTCCCTAAGCCACATAATGAGACATAATTTTAATGTAGAGTATCTTGTGCTTGTGTTTGTCTTGTGAAGGAATATTCCACTTAGTAAGTGAATATGTTTAGTATTTGGCATGCTTGGCATATCCTTGAATTTCAGCCTAAACTAATTAATAAAAAGTTAATAAAAAACCATCACACGCTTACAAATTTAAAAGTTTTTTTTAAAGATTTCTAGACATTATGTGGATAATTTTAAGCTTTTATTGTTTCTATTATTATGATTGCAATTTCTATTGACCAAATAGACCAGGCTATGTACTTTTTTCTTTAATTAATTATTTTTTGTACTTAGGCATCTGTAAGTTGCCTTGCCAGTGTTTAGTGTGGTTAGACCCTGTTGGAAATGAGTGATGGATTGTGCTATCCATGTACTCATGGCTGTGTGAAGAGAGTATAATAAATTCAATCAATCAATCAATCAATCAATCAATCAATCAATCAATCAACCAAATTTGTAAATCAATTAGTCTCATTAGCATTCTGAATGCTGAAGAAAAAAATTCTTCATACCAACTGAACAACAACACCAACGACAATTCCACCAGCTGATTGGAAAGCATGTGGGAAATTCAACAACCCTGCTCCGATACAGGCATTTATGACGATGAACACTGCCCCCGCAAGTGAGGTCTTCCCTTGACTCGCAACATTCTTGTTGACGTTAATTGAGTTGTTAAACAAAAGTGGCGTTGTTTCTTCCGCATCATACGGAAGGATTTCCCTCCTCCCGGATACAATTTTCGTTTGAGTATCCATGAAGTTTTTAATGCTTCTTATTCTCTGCTCATGTTTATCTGATGAAAAAAAGCAACAGAAAAATTTTGAATATAAATAACTATTTTTTGACTTGTGCAAGCCAGTAATGATACAGCACCCTTAAAAACGGTTAATTAAGGCTAGACTAATTAAAATTACATTTTATAGATTAAGAAATATTCTAATATATATGTGGCAAAGACAAGCCAAACCAGTCACTAGTCGCAAAAATCGATTTTGAGTTATTAATATAGTGTTAGAGAGTAAAATAATAGCTATAAAATGGTAAAAAAAAATCATTCAAATCGGACATTTCCTTATGAAGTTACAAGCACTTAACCACACAGCTGTTTAAAGAACAATATATGAGAAATTAGCCGTCAATGTTTATGATTTCAGGCATTTCTCATGCAGAAACTATCTTTAAATCCTTAAAAAGTATTGTTTTAACATTGAAAATGGGAAAAATAACAGCATAGAATGATGTGTAGATATATAAATGTTAGTTTAGTGCAATAAAATAGATTGTTAAAAATTTGACATTCCAGCATGTTTTGGCCATTTTCTCTGAAACACAATTTGCGACGAGTGACTGGTTTGGCTTGTCTTTGCCACATATATTAATCATATGACTTGGCAAATTTATAGGCAAGATGGATACAGAACTGCAGTATTTAATTCAATACATTTATTGACCAATTAAAATATTAAAATTGAATTTAAACAAAAGGGAAAAAAAACTAAGCTGGAAAAGCAGGAGAATTACCAAACAGGATACAGGTATTAGGACAGAATTTTTTATACTCTGTTTAGCGAACCTGCCGACTGCAAGTATTGATGATTTCGAATAAAAATAAAATTTTATTTTTGGCTATTAGCGCACCTGCCGCCACGAAAAAGTGAAAATTTCAGAAAAAAAAAAGTTTGTTTTTTATTTTTATTATGCCCTCCGGTGAGTTGAAATCTCCAAAGGTAAGATATGTATATTTCTTCTTAATTATATAAATTTGAAGCATTTAATCATCCTATTTTACATTCACCAATAAAATTATATTTTTATTTTCTCCTCCGTCTGGACATGTTTGGCAAAACTATTTGCTATTAAATAAGAAAACAAAGTTTTAATTTTATTTTTATTCCGCCCTCCTGTGATGATTTAAAAAAAAATAAGTACGTGAAACAAGGAATTAAAAAAGTCTCGCCTAAGTATGGTTGGTAGGAATGGCTAAAAGAATTCGGCTAGGAAAAGTGTGTAGGGCTAACCGAAGAACCTCCGGACCGGTAAAAGTATTTAGGTCTAGCCATAGAGAAAGCCCTAGCCTACTCTTTTTTAGGACAATACACGTACAGTAAACTAATATTTAATAACTAGAAAAAACTTAGTTTGGATGGTACACTACAACGACTCATTCCAATGCAATATAACTTTACAAAAGTGAAATGAATTACTTCAATTCATTCAAATTACAAACCTCAAACTCATCACCGCGGCGGTGTGCTTCTGATCTGATCTGTTGAAAATCAAGCTTATGTTTATGATTGAGAAGTCATGTGACTACACTCTCACGCATCGATGACCTTGACCACCTGATGTAGATTGGAAATTGGGGGCGGTATAATATTCAACATGGCAGACCACAGTAAGGAGGTAATGGAGGTTGTACCAGAATCCAAACAAGTAAATGAGGATGATATGAAAGATAAATTGCAAGAAAAGATGATGAAGAGACATGAGCAACGTCTTGCGAAAATGGAGAAACGACGTACAGAGCGGGAGCAAGCTTCATCGAAAGACGAATCCATAGTGATCTTCACATCCAACTTCAACTCGGAGAAGAAGCGAATACAGACGATGATAGATAATTCAAATGACATACCTACAGAAAATTTGAATAGCCACTTCGACAGTATGACAACGGATATTCACAGATTCCAGAAGTATGTTACTGATTCTATAATATTCCTCCCATCTTACGACCAAAAACATGCGCAGGATACTGTTAACCAGTTGAACAGCGCGTGTTATGACAAAAGAAAAGAGCTGAAACCAAAGAAGAAGTTTACATTCAGTAAATCAAAGAAAAAGGAGAGCAAAAGTGAGGATGATATTGATAAACCACCGAATAAGATGGAAAATGAGAAACTTGTTCAGTTAGTTGAGCAGAAGAAAGAAGACTCGCTTGGTTTCCGTGATTGCTCTTCTCAGGACTTGGAAATGCTTTCGGATAAAATAAATACCAATGACATCGGTCTTTCGGAACTTGTCGACTGCAAAGTGGTCCTTAAAGGTTCACCAAGCGCTGTGCATATTGATAAGCTCACCAGATGTAAAGTCTTCTGCGGTCCAGTGTCGGGGTCAATATTTATTGCGGACTGCACTGATTGTACTTTCATTATGTCGTGTCAACAGTTGCGTGTCCATACAACAACATCCTGTTCTTTCTATCTCCATGTAACTAGCCGTGCGATTATAGAAGATTCTACTAAAGTTGTATTTGCACCATACGATTGGACTTACGATGAAATTGAGAAAGATTTTGCTCTATCTGGCTTGGATCGAAGTAAGAACAGCTGGGATGATGTGGACGATTTTAACTGGCTGGCAAGTGACAAGCATTCCCCAAATTGGAGCATTCTGCCGGAAGAGAGCCGCATCAAGTACTGAGAATAAACCCGTTCTTAATTATTATCAATAATAATAATATTAATTTTAGCCACCTATTAGAAAAATGTCGCTGTTCAACTGATATTTACCAAACTAAATAAGTTGGAATCAAAAAATAAACTGCATGCTATACAAAAAAACTAAAGATTTTGAAGTATTCATTGAAGGGGAAAAATATTGATGCTGTCACGAATGGCCGTATATGCCAGGGGCTCCAAATCTTCAAAAAATATAATGTGCAATTATTGGATGTAAATTGAATAAATAGAAGCTAATGATTTTTGCTTATGAAGACTCTAGTCATTTGATTTGATTATTGCAAATTTATAATAGTTTATATGCCTTGACTTCCAATGTATTACTACTATAAGATGTTTTTTTTTTATCATGATTTCTTTTCACAACTAAACAAAATATGTTGGATGTTAACACATTGACTGCCAGACCTTTTTTTACGGTTCCTTCCCGTGTGCCAAAACAAGTTTACATGTACAAACATACTTTTTGAAATTTTATCTAGTCATATATCATCAAAATGATGTGTCTAATAAATTGGCGGGAAAATATTAGGGGGCGAGTATACTCGTCGATGGCACTGTGATAGAACTTTTTGCTGACTGCCAAGTGCGAGTTATCTCGTCCTCTTTTTGCATGGGTTGGTATATGTTCAAAGGGCGCCCCCACTTGTACCGCTCGAGTGTACTACCGGCAACATAACAAACATACATATAATGTCATTTTTACGTTATCGTCTAGGTGTATCTTCCCCGAACTACCAGCTGTTGAGTCTGTGGTCGTACATTGTATAATAAAGAAGTTATAAACACTAGAATGTTCCCCCGTTTTTGACGAGTATACTCGTTCCTGGCGCCCTCAGCAGCACCCTGTGGGCGAGTATACTCGTCGCTGGCAGCCAACGTGTTAATACGTCCATCCTTTTATTGGTGGATAGACTATTTGTTGGATGTGTAAGGAATTAAAAACTAAGCTTAGAAATAATCGATAAATGTGCAGGTGTAGCTTTGATGGAAGAACAGAATGCCGAGTTCAAACATGGGAATATGCCTTACCTTTCAGTTTCAAGTTCCCAGGTCTATGTCAAAGGTCAAGCCATTATAACAATCATGTTCCATAGATCCTGCATTTTATGATATTGTCTGTTATGTAATACAGTAACACTATAAAATGCAGTTTATTTACTGTAATTGTGTAAACTGTATGCCTTGACCTTTGAACACACTACTACTTTACAAGATATTTTTTTTATCAGGATTTCTTCCACAATTAAACAAAACACTTCCATAATAAGATATACTTCTTTTGCAGTTGTTGGACTGTCTCTTATACACATCTAGATGTGTATAAGAGACAGATTCAATACATTTGGATCGAAGTAAGAACAGCTGGGATGATGTGGACGATTTTAACTGGCTGGCAAGTGACAAGCATTCCCCAAATTGGAGCATTCTGCCGGAAGAGAGCCGCATCAAGTACTGAGAATAAACCCGTTCTTAATTATTATCAATAATAATAATATTAATTTTAGCCACCTATTAGAAAAATGTCGCTGTTCAACTGATATTTACCAAACTAAATAAGTTGGAATCAAAAAATAAACTGCATGCTATACAAAAAAACTAAAGATTTTGAAGTATTCATTGAAGGGGAAAAATATTGATGCTGTCACGAATGGCCGTATATGCCAGGGGTTCCAAATCTTCAAAAAATAAAATGTGCAATTATTGGATGTAAATTGAATAAATAGAAGCTAATGATTTTTGCTTATGAAGCCTCTAGTCATTTGATTTGATTATTGCAAATTTATAATAGTTTATGCCTTGACTTCCAATGTATTACTACTATAAGATGTTTTTTTATCATGATTTCCTTTCACAACTAAACAAAATATGTTGGATGTTAATACGTCCATCCTTTTATTGGTGGATAGACTATTTGTTGGATGTGTAAGGAATTAAAATTAAAAACTAAGCTTAGAAATAATCGATAAATGTGCAGGTGTAGCTTTGATGGAAGAACAGAATGCCGAGTTCAAATATGGGAATATGCCTTACCTTTCAGTTTCAAGTGCACAGGTCTATGTCAAAGGTCAAGCCATTATAACAATCATGTTCCATAGACCTGCATTTTATGATATTGTCTGTTAAGTAATATAGTAACACTATAAAATGCACAGTTTATACTGTAATTGTGTAAACTTTATGCCTTGACCTTTGAACACACTACTACTTTACAAGATATTTTTTTTATCAGGATTTCTTCCACAATTAAACAAAACACTTCCATAATAAGATATACTTCCTTTGCAGTTGTTGGATGTTGTATGTTAATATTGTCAGTATGTTATGCACCAGTTAATAAATTCATAGATCAGGCATTCAATAATAATACTTTTAATAACTTATATTCGCGTTGCTTTCTTGTATTGGTAAATATAGTACTGAAATATAACATTAAATTACCAAAAAGCCACCATAAATTAATTGTTACCACAATAAAATGTATTTATTAAAACAATTTTCTTCAATATCCAAAATATATTTTAAAAAGTCTATTCCTAGATAGATAGACATAAGTAAAAGTAAACATAATCTCCCTTTAGATTCAATCAGAACTTCATCTTTTAACATTTTCACAAAAAGGGAATGAACCAGCTATTGCACAGGGCTATCATGCAATAGCACCGTACCAATAATCCCCAAATACAACTATTTTAATAGTCCATATCTAAGGGGTTGAGAGGGATACACCCACCCTCTTAAACTCATGCCCTCCCTCTCTCCAGTCACCCACCCATTGACAATGTTTGAAGCAAAAGCATTTTCGTATCACTTTATTTTGTGCCCCTTCAATTAATCATTCATGACCCCCACTTCACCCCACCCCCCATTTTAAGAATCATAAATACACCACTGCCAATAATCCCCAAATACAATGCAACTCTTTTAGTCCACATATAAATTTGTAATCATCACAATTTGCTTCAAATTTGTTTATCCCTAAATATTTTAATCTTGTCTAGACAAATATTTACATATTTAAAAATATATAACTGCTTTCAAGTTTATGTTCATATAAGATATATAGCACAAGTATATTTAGAAAGAGAATATAGTACAATAACTGCATGTATTCTACAACCTCATATACATACAATAAAATATAACATATAATTAATAATGCGGGAGATACTTCAACATAATATTACATTTAATAAACACATATCAAGATTTCGTATTTTAAGGCTATAGCAGTACTGTACTACGGTTTCCCACAATCATTGAGATGAAACTACAGTATACAGGGCCGCCTTCAGATGTTACCTCAGTCCAACATGATACAGATTTCTTTGCTTGTTGGTGCCGTATTAAGGTGATCCCCACCCATCCCTGAAGGCCAAATCCTAATGGGGGGAGGGGATTCCTCTGGCATTCTAATGTCCAGAAAAAATGGACCTTTCCTCTAAGAATCCTTGCTCTATTCTGAACCTGCTGGTTATTCTCGATGGCAATTATCCATATTGCGGGTGAATATCTCATCTTCGTCACTAGCACTGTCATTTGGGTCGCCTTCCCTAAGTAGCATTTGGACTGCTTCACCATTTCTCTCATCTGTGTACAGCTTTGGTTTCTTCTCCCCTAAGATATAAAAAAAAAAAAATTCATTTTCTCATTAATAACTATCAAATATCCCAAAGAGATAACTGTATAAATCCGCTAAAAGCTCACATTATTTACAAATATCCTATTTTATTTTATACTTTGATTATTTTCTTATTTATCACACCATCAAACTTAAATGTGATATGCCCATATTTGGGTGTAATCTAAGAGTATAGCATTGCAAGAGTTCCAAATGTCCTCGTTTTGTATGCACAAAATAGCCGTATTCGACTGGTCGTTCTTAAAACCACGCCCACCTGCACAGTGGTATAATCCTACTTAACGAGGATGACCAGTCGAATAGGAAACTGGTAAATACTCGACAAAACAAAATAGTTACCGCGATACACGCTGCGTAAACAAGGTGGCTTCGGATTGATTGTGGCAGTATGGTTTTTTTTTCGTAAAGAACTATTTTCATCCAGCTTTTGAATTCTGTTAGCCTACAATTATTTTTTCACTTCATTTGGTAAATAATATAATGAACCAGTCAAATAAGCCCAATGAAACGTTAAAAAACTACTACCAAAATATAGGGGGCGTCCTATTAGACTTCGAATAGAGTTTGCTTGAAACTCATCTTTTGAAGTTCACGCCCCTTAGTGGTAGTAGTTTTTGGAATATGTTTACGTGAGTCTGACCTCTTGCAGTTATATGTTCTTTGGAGGAATATGACATCATCATGACCATAAATGGGCAAAAAAAAAAAATTTTATAGTGTAGACAGAGCTTTAATTCTATTTAAATTTGATAGTGTGGACCAAGCTTTATGTCTATTTAAATTTGATAGTATGGACGGAGCTATGTCTATTTTTTTTTCTTTGTGACTTACCTTTCGAAGCTCTTGCCTTCATTCCTACATGTACAACAATACCCATCAAGCACACAACCATTCCAAATTTATTAAGAGTGGACAAAACATCACCATGGAAATGGACAGCTAAAGTTAATGTACAGACTTCCTACAAAAAAAGGGTTAAAATAAATTTTTAATTACAGTTTAGAATACACTTTCCTCAGATATCCAGATAGCTTTCACTCCAGATTATCATATTTTCTTTGGGAAAAAAAAAACTGTTGTATGCTTATACGTAGCCATCATGTGCCTATATATGGTCATGATGTGATGTCATTATGACCATATTTAGGCATGTCATCTGTTTTGTCAAATAAAATTTCATAGTCTGGACAGAGCTTTAAAGCTGTGTCCATACATACTATAAAATTTTATGTGAAAAATATCTGTTTGCCCAATATGTTTATCGGGTATAAAACACGATACTTAAGACAGGTTTGCTTTATAAACAAAATATGTATGTCCAATAACCACACTATAATGCCGTCACAGTCTTGTTATGACTGGGAATTTCAAGCCAATTTGAACAAACCAAATCCAACACAGTTAAAGACAATTTGCTTAATCAAAAATTCTATCACACATTTTCGCACTAAAATAATGTATTCTATTAGAACTTTAATAATTTTATATCTGAATGGCTGTTTGTGTGGCAAGCAGTATTTGGACAAGGTCGTGTATGTGCCTTTTAAATTTTTAATAATTAATATTAATTAATTAATTTATTCATTGAAAGCGAGCGAGCAAAATGGCCGAGCAGTTAAGGCAGGGGCACCGTGATCGTAGCCAACAATATCGGCACAGGTTCACGGCCGGCTCGCTCCTATAGTTCTGGTGGTAGAACAAGTCTTCTCGGATAAGAACTATAAACCGTAGGCCCAGTGTACACAAATGCTCATGTGCACTTTAAAGAACCCAGTACATCTTTTGAGATGAGAAGGGGCTTATCCCGGTGTACTGGTTCATTCGGCCCATGTCGTGGACAGATGAAAGTACGCCGGTTTACTGGCTGCAGAGGACATGAAGTGACCCTCAGGGGAGGAGAAAGCTTTTGAAAAGTGCAACATCTAGTCCCGAGCGCATAGAGACCTCGTTTATTTGCGCTATATAAATCCACCTATTATTTTTATTATTATTAAAGAAAAACACTTACAGACCCTAGACAGCACTTACCTTGAATATACCTGAGATGGAGAGTGTGAGGGAAGACGTCATGGAAACCAGTAAGTATTCTGAGCAGGCTAAAAAGAATGCCAGAACAGCACCAAGACAGATCTTAAAGCCCATTGATGTAAACTCAGCAATATCAGTATAAGCTAGAAATTGTTTAGTGGATACTACCTTCAACCCTATCAAAGGAAAAAGTATCAGCTTTGAGTGATGTGATTACTATGTATTTGACACTATATTTATATAATTTATATAAAAAATATACAAAATATATTATATTAAATAGATAAATATATAAACTTTCTTACACTTACACAGCTGATGACATAAGATATACATAAATATGATCAGGTATGTATCTAGGGTTGTGAGGTGAGAATACCCAGGGCCCCTTCCCAATTTCTCGCCTCTCCTTCCCAATTCTCCCCATCAACTTCCCCATTTCAAGACTCCAAGATACACCAGTGTGCAGGAAGCATGCCCTGCTCCCTCCCAAAAAAAAAACCTTTCTCCCTCCTTTCTTTCTCTCTCCCCTACTGGAAATTTCCAAAGCAAAAAAATTATGCTCATGTAGTTAAAAATCACGTCATACCACCTGATTTTGCCAGATAGCTAACTTTATCATCGAGCCCTAACACTTCACCCATCATCCATGTCCACCCTAGCCCCCCACACTTTCAATGCCCTTAAATATGCCACTGAATTGGATTGGTTTATACATACCTTCTGTTGCTACTGCAATTGGTAATAAAGCTATAATCATGATTGGCTGAAGGTGATATATGGTATCAACTGGATTAACTAAACCTGCAGGCAAAACATGAAACATAAAGGAATTAATAGTGAGCCACCAGGCGCACCCATTTCACAAAGGCCTACATTCATTGTAATAATACCGGCAAATATGTATCTAATAATAGTACGATTCGTGTTCAGTTTAATGTTGTCACAAAATACTGTGACATTTTGTTTTTGTATGCTATTTTGTATCTTTTTCTGTTAAAAAATAAAAAAAAAGGCAGTGGTAAAAACGGGGTAGGAGGAACATGTCCCATGTTCCCCCTCCCAAAATCTGAAAGAAGGAACAGTGTATTAAGGTGCCGGTACATACCAATTTTTTTATTTTGCGTTAGTAATTGAGCTAAAGACCAGCGTACACCACCGATGAAAGACGCTATCATTACTAGGATGAAACCTTCTAAATTGAATTGAGTTGAATGGTAGGTGAACATAAAAAGACCAACAGCTATAAATAATATGATAACACCTTGCACCAATTTCTGCAAGGGACAAAATAAAAATTAAAAACATGTAGTCATCAAATTCTATTATTTTGTAATGAAGGGTAAATATAAAAATATTAACTTTACATTTTCTCTGTATAATGTATTTTATTTTGAAAAAGTAATATTGGCACTGACCCAAGAGAATGATTGAAACTTCTACCGAAAGACCAAATTCTTTATTTACTTGTTATTTTGCATTTTATTTATTATTTTTTACAGTTAACAATTTGTTGGGGCTGCTAAACCTTGTACAGGAACGTTGGTCCTCCTTGGCTTCGCCCTCCTCCTGTATTTGAGGAAATTAATATATTATTATTTATTATTATTAATTAATAATATTCCACATCATGAGGAAAGTTTGAAGTGGAAGTGGTTTGACGAGGTGGGGAATGGTTTGCCTTTGCAACCAAAGTCAGGGTTTCAATTCTTTGCTCCACATATCGCTTGTGTCCTTGAGCAAGGCACTTTATGTCAGTAGTACATTGTTTCAGTCTACCGATTGATTACTAGTAAATTGCTAGAAGTAACCTGCAATGGAATAGCGTCCCATCCAGGGGGTGCATCACACCCTCATATAAGTCACGCTACAGAAACTAGGGATAAGCTTACCGAGTCCAAGTGGTTCAGTAAGCATTAACTTTTTTACAATTCCACATAAGGTTTTACACAACTGAAAGCATACTGAATAAATTCACTATACCTAGTAAAAAAATATATGGTTTGGTTATGAACTATTGTTCCAAAACTTACCGGTTTTTCAAGGCGAAACAATATCGCAAATAAAAGTAGAAATACAATACAGGAAGACTTTGACATTGTGTACAGTGATATAGTTATGAATACTAAGCTCCAGTTGGAAAGGCCAATATCTAACGAACTAGCCACAGCTGGTGGAAAAAAAAAATGATTTTGATAAATACATATAAAAAATACAATCAAATCAAATCAAACTTTATTTGTCCATTAAAACACAGGTAAAATGGAAATTCTTTTTTTCCACTGGCAAAGAACATGAAACATCAAAAAAACATTGTAAAAACATTAAAACACACCAGAAGGACACCAATCTACATATTAATCAAAATCAAATTAGTGTCGATTTATGTAACACAATCAGCACTTTTTGACTGCAAAATTCAGTAGTTGATTCTGTTAAATTGTCATTATTACAATGTCTTTAAACAAAGCATTTATAATTATTATTATTATTATTATTATTATTATTATTATTATTATTATTATTATTATTATTATTATTATTATTATGTATTTAATATATAATGGGGTTTTTCAAGCCAAAACCAGTACCAGTCACCAAAACAAGAAATTTTATATTTATATTATAAGCTTTAAAATGATAGGTCATTTTCTGGAATCAACTTACAAAAACCCATGTAAACTGTAGAACATTGTATATTATTTGAAAAAGAAATTTTCAAAGTCTAGTCTTCTGGCCTTCATCAGCTTAAATACCGAGTGTACACTCACTCAGTAAATAACAACAATAACAATAACAGTAAATGTAATATGACTATTAGCCCATTCAGACTAGCATCGTATTGCAATCGGTTGTAGCAATTGCGACACCCAATCGCAAAGTAAAATCGTGTGTGAAAGCTCACCAATAGCAGTCGGTAAGTAATGAATATCGCAATTGTAACCGTTGCGATTGGGTGCTACAATCTTTATTACTCCCAATTGCCACGGGATCCAATTGCAGCAACTTCCACAGGCACTGTTTGGCGGAGGTCAGTCAACATAGGTCTAGCCACTGGAGGCCTATGCCCTAGAATGAAAAGTGTTTTTTGTGTTGGTCTGTATGCGTTCACTGATTGCGATCGGGAGTAATTCATCAGTTTTGGATGACCACCGATTACATCGCAACCGATCGCAACAGGGTGTAGTCAGAATAGGGTATATGACTTACCAGTTGGAGCAACATTCCTGACATATGTACCCCAATCCAACGTGACAGGCTGAGGGCCTCCTGCTTTGCCCAAACAAGCTCGTACAGGAATAGAAATAAGAAACTTGATGAAAAAATGAATGATTGTCAGGGTCAATGGAAAGTGAAACTCCTGAAAAGAGCCAAAAATATTTGTTTTTAAATTTAATAATTAAAACGTATAATTAACTGGAAGTGTTGCTATCCACATCTTGTGTTGGCTCCCAGTGCATGGTGTAATTTTTGCACCCTTCTGGTCAATTTATGACTTGTTTTAATGTGTTGCCGAATATATAATAAATCGATAGTACAGCACATAATTGTACTATACTGTACAGTACTGTTTACTGTACAGTACTGTACTTCATAAAGGGGGCAGCAGACTCTCAATGAGTTACAGGAAAACTTTGCTTAAGCTTCCCCTTACTGTAGGTACTGTACTGTACTTATTATAAAAGTGCATTGGTGCTGACTGATGCAGATTTTAGTAATTCAAATAGCAGTTTTAAGAATCTTGTCTCCGGTTACATTTCAAAGTTATTTTTTTTATTTTTTTTAAATTTATTTATTTATTTTTTTACTTTATTTTACAATATTTATGAAATTTGTTATATTATATTATTTTCTGTACTTGTACTCTCTTCTGGAAAAGTAAGTGCAATGATTTTTGTGTCTACTGCCCTCAGGCAGTAGACACTTTGCTATCCTGGTCAAGTGTAAAGTTGACAGTGTGAAGTAAGAATCCGGAAGTGTAAAGTTGACATTATGTCACATTCGTGATGTGTGATATGACGTGATTTTATTACTACCCGTAACCTCGGTCGTGTGTGGTACGATGCATTGCTAGAACAAACGACAAAAACTATTACTATATTATTTCATTAATCACTTTCGACATCACCGTTTCTATTAAATTTGGCAGAAGACACACGGTCCCGCTGGGAGAATATCTTAAAATTTAATTATCTTTTTATCTTGTAACCTGTCTGTAATGTTTTATGGTTTTTACAATCCTGTAAGTGGCGATTCTTGTTTTTGCTGTTGGTTTGTTTATAAATAAATAAAATAAATAAGCGGGGGCCAAACCATGAAAATTTTAGATGCAATGAGAAGCCTTTAAAATAACTCTTGAATTGACGTGGAGCCAATGAAGTTCCCTGAGAATAAGTGATGTCTGCTCTGTTCTAGGTGCACAAATTGCAAGCAGTTTAAACCCCTGAATTAAATATTAATAACCTAAGCAGCATATTTTCCAAGTAAGCAACTGATATATTAAAACCTATTAAGAATGACTTGAAATAAATATAGGTTATAAGCCGGTGTTTACTGTATTTGGATCGACTGATACTCACCGTAAATATCCATTTATTGTAAAAGGTAAGGCTAATTGACCAACAGTAATAGAATAACACTAGACCCAATGTCTTAATCGTCATAACGGTATAATCGTACCAGACGGACCGCTTCAACTTGCGTGGCGAATGCTCGTAGATAGCCTGGTTTATCCGCATATTTAGTCTGGGACCGCCTGATGGACTAGACGTCATTTTGTTGGTTAAATTCTGTTGAGATTAATAAACATTACTAAGCAGAAAAAATTTGTTGCAATCTTAATGCGAGTTCATCAGTAGAGTAATTTAGCACTAGCTAGCAGCATTAGGCCAAATACAGTAGTAGCATTAGTAGTAACCAGGAGTGGTGCTAGTAAGGGTCAGGGGAACAAAGGACCCTTGTTGAGGACCACTGGAACCCCTACTTGGATCCCCTCTCAGGGAATTTCCAGCAAAGTCGTCATGAAAAAACATCAAATCTCGAGCGCCAAAAGCACAATTCAAGCATGCCTTTCTGCTGTTTACCACTAAGCTGTCAAAATTTTAGGGATTAAAAACCGTTTAGTGAGAGCAGTGCTACCGTATGTGCGAATTTATGGGTTGCAGTGGCGCACCACCTCTTCCACGATTGGTGGATGGTACCTCCGACAGGGGGTTAGTACCCCCGATGGGAATACTAGTACCCCCGTCCTTTTGAAATAAAGAATCCCATAATTAACACAACATTTTATTATTTTTTAATCAATCAAATATCACCAACAAATTTTATTTTACCCCGACCGGGGTGGGGGCTGGGCTTCCCTGACTGGGGTGTATTGACCCCTTTTCGTGGAGCGTGGACCTTTTGTCGTGGAATTCCTAGCGCCCCCCCACCCCCTCTCCTAGTAGCAGCAGCAGTAGAAGCAGTAGTAATAAGTAAACAGCTGACAACACATTCGGGAGGCAAAGCAAAGTTCCATGACAATTAACTATTATGTTCTGTAATAAAATGAAGAGCTGCTGTTGGTTAGTTGTCATTAAATTCAATTGAGGCATTGACATTTAAAAATTAGAGCTTACAATTTGCTTTGTAATTTCAACCTGCAACAAAATAAATGACTATTTTAAAATGTAGGTAATACAGTCCCTCCCTGGAGGATAACAATGCTTTTGCACTTATCAGGTCACCCTGGGTAAAAAAGAAATGAATAAAAATACAATAAATAAGTAGGCTTATGCCTATAATAATATTTATAATAATAACAAACACAACAGGGTATTTCACTAATTTTCATGTATTTATGGCCAAAACGGGTCACTGGTTATATACATACTGTATATATGTAGTAAATCACATGAAAGTAAATACGGCATTGAGATATACCTCCATTGGTGTCGATTAAAGATGATAATAAATATTTGAGGAAAAACGTATGTCCCTATCGGGATTCGAAACCCAAGACCTTCCGATTACCGCTCGGATACTCTAAAAACTGAGCTACGAGGCCAAGTGGTATACACCCTTGGATTTTCCCATTAGGACACGTTTTTTCTCAAGATATTGCATAATACGTTTTA